CAAAAACATACCAGGCACTCTCTCACGACGTTCAAAATAAAAATAGAACCTGACTCGACCTAAGTAGGTCACAACACCATGTACCACAAACCAAACAAAACCCCGTCTTTCCCTCCCAGCCTCCTCCCTACACTTTATCAACGCGAGAACATTCCACTACATTACCCTGTGTGCCCATACTAAAAAAACCGAGACTTTCTCATAAAAATTAATTTGAGACTTTTTGTTTTGTTGTAATTACCTTGGATGGTGTCACCTAGTACGGACTACACCCCCGACCCCCGTGACTGTGAAGACCTACAAAATCATGTTAGTTACATTTCATGACATTTTATAATTGCAACTAATTAAAGCAATTAAACAAAAAGTTCGTACATCAAACAAAAGGGAAAAAAGATAACAAAACATTATGTCCGTTTTTTTTTGTTCCTAATGTGTAGGCTTTTAATATTTGTTTAGAACCAGAGGCTTAAAGGTTTACTAAATGAAGCAAATAAACCGCCTAATAGCTTCATTTCCTTTGTTTCTGCAGTACCGATTAGATTGTTTCATCTGTATTTTGCCGTAGTCTGCAGTACTTGGTAATCAACATCGTATGATATGTTCTGGAGCTCACAATATCTTTTGCACAAGAATAAGGTCAGAAATTTAGACTAAATCATTTTTAATTTACAAGTTATATTGGGAAGAATCGATGGTGAAAAATGTAGAAAATACAACATCGATCATTTAAATAAAACTTTAGAATTTATGTCAATATTTTCTAATTGACAAATTAAGAATAAATATCGATTATTGAGGAGTGCTATTGTTAATGGGAGTTATTTACCACTAGTTAGATCACCACCAGTAGTGCTAATCAGAGGCGTAGCGAGGAGGGGGGGGGGGTGTGTGCCGCACCAGGTGACACCATTTAGGGGGTGACACCAAGGCAAAAAATAGTAAAATATATGGAGAAAAATTTGAGGGGGGGGGGTGCAAATCGAAAGTTTGAGGGGGGGGGGGGGCGCAAATAGAAGAAACTGAAAGTTTGACCCCGGGAAGAGTCGCTACGTCTCTGAGGGGGTGACACCATTAAGTGCCACAACGGGTGACACCCGACCTCGCTACGCAACTGGTGCTAATATTAGATCACCACCTGTAGTGCTAATATTAGATCACCACCAGTAGTGCTGTTAGATCACCACCCGTAGTGCTAATGTTAGATCACCACGAGTAGTGCTAATGTTAGATCACCACCAGTAGTGCTAATGTTAGAACACCACCAGTAGTGCTAATGTTAGATCACCAGCAGTAGTGCTAATGTTAGATCACCACCAGTAGTGCTAATGTTAGATCACCATCAGTAGTGCTAATATTAGATCCCCACCAGTAGTGCTAATGTTAGATCACCACCAGTAGTGCTGTTAGATCACCACCAGTAGTGCTGTTAGATCACCACCAGTAGTGCTGTTAGATCACCACCAGTAGTGCTAATGTTAGATCACCACCAGTAGTGCTAATGTTAGATCACCTACAATAGTGCTAATGTTAGATCACCAGCAGTAGTGCTAATGTTAGATCACCACCAGTAGTGCTAATGTTAGATCACCAGCAGAAGTGCTAATGTTAGATCACCACCAGTAGTGCTAATGTTAGATCACCAGCAGTAGTGCTAATGTTAGATCACCAGCAGTAGTGCTAATGTTAGATCACCACCAGTAGTGCTGTTAGATCACCACCAGTAGTGCTGTTAGATCACCACCAGTAGTGCTAATGTTAGATCACCACCAGTAGTGCTGTTAGATCACCACCAGTAGTGCTAATGTTAGATCACCACCTGTAGTGCTGTTAGATCACCACCAGTAGTGCTAATGTTAGATCACCACCAGTAGTGCTAATGTTAGATCACCACCAGTAGTGCTAATGTTAGATCACCACCAGTAGTGCTAATAATAGATCACCACCAGTAGTGCTAATGTTAGATCACCACCCGTAGTGCTAATGTTAGATCACCACCAGTAGTGCTAATGTTAGATCACCACCAGTAGTGCTAATGTTAGATCACCATCAGTAGTGCTAATGTTAGATCACCACCAGTAGTGCTGTTAGATCACCACCAGTTGTGCTGTTAGATCACCACCAGTAGTGCTGTTAGATCACCACCAGTAGTGCTAATGTTAGATCACCACCAGTAGTGCTAATGTTAGATCACCTACAATAGTGCTAATGTTAGATCATCACCCGTAGTGCTAATGTTAGATCACCACCAGTAGTGCTAATGTTAGATCACCACCAGTAGTGCTGTTAGATCACCAACAGTAGTGCTAATGTTAGATCACCACCAGTAGTGCTAATGTTAGATCACCACCAGTAGTGCTAATGTTAGATCACCACCAGTAGTGCTAATGTTAGATCACCAGCAGTAGTGCTAATGTTAGATCACCACCAGTAGTGCTAATGCTAGATCACCACCAGTAGTGCTAATGTTAGATCACCAACAGTAGTGCTAATGTTAGATCACCACCAGTAGTGCTAATGTTAGATCACCAACAGTAGTGCTAATGTTAGATCACCACCAGTAGTGCTAATGTTAGATCACCACCCGTAGTGCTAATGTTAGATCACCACCAGTAGTGCTAATGTTAGATCACCACCAGTAGTGCTAATGTCAGATCACCACAAGTAGTGCTAATGTTAGATCACCACCAGTAGTGCTGTTAGATCACCAGCAGTAGTGCTAATGTTAGATCACCACCAGTAGTGCTGTTAGATCACTACCAGTAGTGCTAATGTTAGATCACCACCAGTGTAGTGCTAATGTTAGATCACCATCAGTAGTGCTAATGTTAGATCACCATCAGTAGTGCTAATGTTAGATCACCACCAGTAGTGCTAATGTTAGATCACCACCAATAGTACTAATGTTAGATCACCTACAATAGTGCTAATGTTAGATCACCACCAGTAGTGCTAATGTTAGATCACTACCAGTAGTGCTAATGTTAGATCACCACCAGTGTAGTGCTAATGTTAGATCACCATCAGTAGTGCTAATGTTAGATCACCATCAGTAGTGCTAATGTTAGATCACCACCAGTAGTGCTAATGTTAGATCACCACCAATAGTACTAATGTTAGATCACCTACAATAGTGCTAATGTTAGATCACCACCAGTAGTGCTAATGTTAGATCACCACCTGTAGTGCTGTTAGATCACCACCAGTAGTGCTAATGTTAGATCACCACCAGTGGTGCTAATGTTAGATCACCACCAGTGGTGCTGTTAGATCACCAACAGTAGTGCTGTTAGATCACCACCAGTATTGCTAATGTTAGATCACCACCAGTAGTGCTAATTTTAGATCACCACCAGTAGTGCTAATGTTAGATCACCACCAGTAGTGCTAATGTTGGATCACCACCAGTAGTGCTGTTAGATCACCACCAGTAGTGCTAATGTTAGATCACCACGAGTAGTGCTAATGTTAGATCACCACCAGTAGTGCTAATGTTAGATCACCACCAGTAGTGCTAATGTTAGATCACCACCCTTAGTGCTAATGTTAGATCACCACCAGTAGTGCTAATGTTAGATCACCACAAGTAGTGCTAATGTTAGATCACCACCAGTAGTGCTAATGTTAGATCACCATCAGTAGTGCTTATGTTAGATCACCACCAGTAGTGCTAATGTTAGATCACCACCAGTAGTGCTAATGTTAGATCACCTACAATAGTGCTAATGTTAGTTCACCAGAAGTAGTGCTAATGTTAGATCACCACCAGTAGTGCTAATGTTAGATCACCATCAGTAGTGCTAATGTTAGATCACCACCAGTAGTGCTGTTAGATCACCACCAGTAGTGCTGTTAGATCACCACCAGTAGTGCTAATGTTAGATCACCACCAGTAGTGCTGTTAGATCACCACCAGTAGTGCTAATGTTAGATCACCACCTGTAGTGCTAATGTTAGATCACCTACAATAGTGCTAATGTTAGATCATCACCCGTAGTGCTAATGTTAGATCACCACCAGTATTGCTAATGTTAGATCACCTACAATAGTGCTAATGTTAGATCACCACCAGTAGTGCTGTTAGATCACCACCAGTAGTGCTAATGTTAGATCACCACCAGTAGTGCTGTTAGATCACCACCAGCAGTGCTAATGTTAGATCACCACCAGTAGTGCTAATGTTAGATCACCACCAGTAGTGCTAATGTTAGATCACCACCAGTAGTGCTAATATTAGATCACCACCAGTAGTGCTAAATTTTAGATCACCATCAGTAGTGCTAATGTTAGATCACCACCAGTAGTGCTAATGTTAGATCACCACCAGTAGTGCTAATGTTAGATCACCACCAGTAGTTCGTTAGATCACCACCAGTAGTGCTAATGTTAGATCACCACAAGTAGTGCTAATGTTAGATCACCACCAGTAGTGCTGTTAGATCACCAGCAGTAGTGCTAATGTTAGATCACCACCAGTAGTGCTGTTAGATCACTACCAGTAGTGCTAATGTTAGATCACCACCAGTGTAGTGCTAATGTTAGATCACCATCAGTAGTGCTAATGTTAGATCACCACCAGTAGTGCTAATGTTAGATCACCACCAGTAGTGCTATTAATAGATCACCACCAGTAGTGCTAATGTTAGATCACCACCAGTAGTGCTAATGTTAGATCACCACGAGTAGTGCTAATGTTAGATCACCACCAGTAGTGCTAATGTTAGATCACCACCAGTAGTGCTAATGTTAGATCACCACGAGTAGTGCTAATGTTAGATCACCACCAGTAGTGCTAATGTTAGATCACCACCAGTAGTGCTAATATTAGATCCCCACCAGTAGTGCTAATGTTAGATCATCACCAGTAGAGCTAATGTTAGATCACCACCAGTAGTGCTAATGTTAGATCACCACGCTAACAAGGAGGTTGTAGGTATTCTAAATGAAATAAGAAATTCAACCAATCACAACCCACTGGTTTGCTTGTAGAGCAGAGTACCATGGGCAAGCGTGGAACAGTCCAGCTTAATTCGATCAAACCGTTAGAGGGACACAGACCAGATTACTCCTCTTTGAGTGACATGGCCTGGATTTATCAGACTCGACCTGAATATTTAGAAAAGATGAAACTTCTACAGGTAATACATATTTTATTAGTAATTTTTACTTCCTGGTAGAATAGAGAATAAAGGATGTATTGTAATGGTGCGAAAAATTTTGAGATTTTGACAATTGTTGACGTTTTACAACCTTCTATAGCCAGCAACACAATTTTTGACGTTTTTCAACCGTCTATCTATAGCCAGCAACACAGTTTTTGACGTTTTACAACCTTCTATAGCCAGCAACACAGTTTTTGACGTTTTTCAACCTTCTATAGCCAGCAACACATTATTTTGCAAATCTGCCCTTCTGTATGTGCATGTAAAAACGATAACTTGAATGCCGTTTCAGTTAGGTTGACGAACTTTCATATTTCTAATCCAAACTAATTTTATATCAAATTTATAGTGTTCGGTCAACTTTGAAGCGATTTCTGTCATTCTTTGAACCGGAAGTCGTAATTTACCAAATATCCGTAAGAACCCGATAGCTTGAGTAATATTTGAGTTAGTAATATTTAAGTTAGACAGAATTTCATATATAAGTACTAGCCGTCCCGGTCAGGCCCTGCTCTGGCTTCTGTGAAAAACCTTTCTGTTAAAGACCATTACCTGTGTGTTTAGTAATCATCATAAACCCGGCACTGCCCACCCAAACCACAATCAACCAAAACCAAAACAACAAAACGCAAACATAACGCTAATACAATTACAAATACAAACGAAAACAAAAACATAACAACAAACCCAACCACAACCACAAACACCAATACAAACACAAAGAAAAAACAAACAAAAAAGCAAACGAAAACAAAAACCTAACAACAAACCCAACCACAACCACAAACACCAATACGAGCACAAAGAAAAAAACAAACGAAAAAGCAAACGAAAACAAACCAAATCCAAACGCAAAACCAACCACAAACACAAACACAAACCCAAAGAAAAAACACAAACAAAAAAGCAAACGAAAACAAACCAAATCCAAACGCAAAACCAACCACAAACACAAATACAAACACAAACCCAAAGAAAAAACACAAACGAAAACGAAAAAAGAAAGAACAAAAGCGAACCAAATCAAAACGCAACCACTAACGCAAACCCAACCTAAACACAAAGAAAGCACAAACGCGAACATAAACGCAAAGTGCTCACAGTCTAGCCCTGGGCAGAATCGCCTGTTTCAGCTTAATAAACGACTATAGTACCCCAACTTATTCATAGTCTTTTCCACTCACTTAAACGTGCCAAACTAAACCAAATGAACAATTATAATACTCCAAGCTTATCCGTAAAATACCTACAACATTTGCACTTGATCAATCCCCGCTAATTATGTAATTATTTTTTTCCCAACACCAAAACAAAGTAATAAAAAGTAAATTCTTTTCCACTAATGCAATGTTTTATAAAGGGAAGTAATTGTGTTTTCCTAATTTATCAAAGGGAAGTAAGTGCTAAAGGACTAAATATAAATAATTTTCAGACATAATTAGAATTTTTGTAAAAGATGATATTTTTTTGAAATTGTGTTTAATGAACATGCCGACAATTATTACTATCAGTTTGAAAAATGAAAATTATTTCCCAACACTTTCAGTATTAATTTTTTTAACTCATAAATTTAGACCTTGAGTACTATGATAATCTAACACTTAAATCCATTGAAGTATCCACGACAAACCCATTACATACAGAATTGAGATTTATGTATTAGATAAAATCTTAAACTATGATTACTCATTTGAGTTACCTTCGAAATCCGGAAGTGTTACTTTACTCTATTTTCCGATTCTAAAATTCTAATAACATAAGTAGGCCTACCGTTTCAGTTAGATGAATGAAACTTCATACCTTTTCTGATTTCTCAAAAAATATGACAGAACCCATTTGTTTCAAACTTTTCACGTAGGTTGCATTCAATGCACTGTGACATAAAATGTAACATAATTAGATGCTTAATAAGCTTTTCAAAGATAAATCAATGTGTCCTTTATAAAATACTAATTTTCCGTTCTATCTACTTTGTAAGCGTTCGTTTTGGTACGTAATTAGTTTTCCTACTCGATTCTATTCTGCCCGTGAAATCATTTGTCCTTGGGATCATTTGTCGTAAGATAATTTGTCCTGTTCAGTTACTTAAAGCTCAGGCTAATTAGTGTTTGATTAAATGATCATTTCTGCATATACCATTTGTTTTCGCATCGTGAAGGTAATAAGAGAAGGCACTACTGCGCAGCTTACGGAGATGATCGAATCTTCCAGCAGACCAGATGAGCTCCTTAACATCCAAGACGACATTGGTGTCGGAGTGCTACACATGGCGGCCAGATTCGACAAGCCGGATATGACAGCAATCCTTCTTAAGCACGGCGCTAGTAAGTTGTGGTCAGACTGACATTTGCTTGTAAGGTAGCTCATAGCATGTCAACGTGTGCACCGTGTCGATATGTCAATGTGTCGATATGTCAATGTATCACTATGTCAATAAGTTCACATGTGACACTGCCCACAATGTCATTTTGCCCACCATGTCAATGTTTCGATATGTCAATAAGTTTACATGTTAAATTGTCGAAAGCTCTATTTATATTTTTTTGCCCGATTATAACGCACCCGTTATATTCCATATATGTTAAAATAGGGAGGCTTAAAGCGGCGAAAACTCCATATAAACTGTATACGAGAAATTAAAAAGCACGATTACAATACTCCTTATAGACTGTGTAGGAGAAGTAAAAAAGCACGAGTGTGGTCGTGTGTTCTAGTGTAAAGCTACCCAGACAACAACATTTACAAACCCGTGTTTCGTCAAGCCGTACTAAAGTTGCCAGTTGTCGGATTATTGGAATAAGTTACCAGTAATATATATTATATAAGGTTTCAAAAAGTTACCAGTTGTAGTGATGCATAAGGTTTTAAAAAGTTACCAGTTGTAGTGATGTATAAGGTTTTAAAATGTTACCAGTTGTAGTGATGTATAAGGTTTTAAAATGTTACCAGTTGTAGTGATGTATAAGGTTTTAAAAAAGCGACCAGTAGTAGTGATGTATAATATAAGGTTTTAAAAAGCTACCGGCTGTAAAAATGTTTGAAATTTAAATCCCCCTCCCCCCTAGATCCTAACGCTTTCTTAAGCGTTCGACACACGCCGTTTGCAGTGGCGTGTCGATTCAGCAGCATCGGCGTCATTAAAGTCTTTCTAAAACATGGGGTGGATCCCCTCTTTCATGTGAAGGACCAAGGGAATGCCTTACACAGCATCGCCCGTTTCAGTTCTGTTGCGGTTGCCGAGGTAAGTAGGCCATAAATCATTCGGTTGCCGAGGTAAGTAGGCCATAAATCATTCGGTTGCCGAGGTAAGTAGGCCATAAATCATTCGGTTGCCGAGGTAAGTAGGCCATAAATCATTCGGTTGCCGAGGTAAGTAGGCCATAAATCATTCGGTTGCCGAGGTTAGTAGGCCATAAATCATTCAGTTGCCGAGGTTAGTAGGCCATAAATCATTCGGTTGCCGAGGTAAGTAGGCCATAAATCATTCGGTTGCCGAGGTTAGTAGGCCATAAATCATTCAGTTGCCGAGGTTAGTAGGCCATAAATCATTCGGTTGCCGAGGTAAGTAGGCCATAAATCATTCGGTTGCCGAGGTTAGTAGGCCATAAATCATTCGGTTGCCGAGGTTAGTAGGCCATAAATCATTCGGTTGCCGAGGTAAGTAGGCCATAAATCATTCAGTTGCCGAGGTTAGTAGGTCATAAATCATTCGGTTGCCGAGGTAAGTAGGCCATAAATCATTCGGTTGCCGAGGTTAGTAGGCCATAAATCATTCGGTTGCCGAGGTTAGTAGGCCATAAATCATTCGGTTGCCGAGGTTAGTAGGCCATAAATCATTCGGTTGCCGAGGTTAGTAGGCCATAAATCATTCGGTTGCCGAGGTTAGTAGGTCATAAATCATTCGGTTGCCGAGGTAAGTAGGCCATAAATCATTCAGTTTCCGAGGTTAGTAGACCATAAATCATTCGGTTGCCGAGGTTAGTAGGTCATAAATCATTCGGTTGCCGAGGTAAGTAGGCCATAAATCATTCAGTTGCCGAGGTTAGTAGGCCATAAATCATTCGGTTGCCGAGGTTAGTAGGTCATAAATCATTCGGTTGCCGAGGTTAGTAGGTCATAAATCATTCGGTTGCCGAGGTTAGTAGACCATAAATCATTCGGTTGCCGAGGTTAGTAGGTCATAAATCATTCGGTTGCCGAGGTTAGTAGACCATAAATCATTCGGTTGCCGAGGTTAGTAGGTCATAAATCATTCGGTTGCCGAGGTTAGTAGGCCATAAATCATTCGGTTGCCGAGGTTAGTAGGTCATAAATCATTCGGTTGCCGAGGTTAGTAGGCCATAAATCATTCGGTTGCCGAGGTTAGTAGGTCATAAATCATTCGGTTGCCGAGGTTAGTAGACCATAAATCATTCGGTTGCCGAGGTTAGTAGGTCATAAATCATTCGGTTGCCGAGGTTAGTAGGCCATAAATCATTCGGTTGCCGAGGTTAGTAGGTCATAAATCATTTGGTTGCCGAGGTAAGTAGATCATAGATCATAAATCATTCGGTTGCCGAGGTAAGTAGATTATAAATCATTCGGTTGCCGAGGTAAGTAGATCATAAATCATTCAGTTGCCGAGGTTAGTAGGTCATAAATCATTCAGTTGCCGAGGTAAGTAGATCATAAATCATTCAGTTGCCGGGGTAAGTAGGCCATAAATCATTCGGTTGCCGAGGTTAGTAGGCCATAAATCATTCGGTTGCCGAGGTTAGTAGGTCATAAATCATTTGGTTGCCGAGGTAAGTAGATCATAGATCATAAATCATTCGGTTGCCGAGGTAAGTATATCATAAATCATTCGGTTGCCGAGGTAAGTAGATCATAAATCATTCGGTTGCCGAGGTAAGTAGATCATAAATCATTCGGTTGCCGAGGTAAGTAGATCATAAATCATTCGGTTGCCGAGGTAAGTAGATCATAAGTCATTCGGTTGTTTAGGTAAGTAGATCATAGATCATAAATCATTCGGTTGCCGAGGTTAGTAGGTCATAAATCATTCGGTTGCCGAGGTTAGTAGACCATAAATCGTTCGGTTGCCGAGGTTAGTAGGTCATAAATCATTCGGTTGCCGAGGTTAGTAGGCCATAAATCATTCGGTTGCCGAGGTTAGTAGGTCATAAATTATTTGGTTGCCGAGGTAAGTAGATCATAAATCATTCGGTTGCCGAGGTAAGTAGATCATAAATCATTCGGTTGCCGAGGTAAGTAGATCATAGATCATAAATCATTTGGTTGCCGAGGTAAGTAGATCATAAATCATTCAGTTGCCGAGGTAAGTAGGTCATAAGTCATTTGGTTGCCGAGGTAAGTAGATCATAAATCAAGTAACGTGTTGATCGAATATTTAAAAGAGATAACGTGTCAATGTTGCTCTAACAACCCAATCCCCAGACGTGTGTTGACTTTAAAAATCGATGCATTTAAACTCATCATATTAGCTCGTAGAATTGAGTTATTTGACAATTTGCCCGTAGAATTAAGTTATTTGACAATTTGCTCATAGAATCGAGTTATTTGACTATTTGCTCGTAGAATTGAGTTCTTTGACAATTTGCCCGTAGAATTAAGTTATTTGACAATTTGCTCATAGAATCGAGTTATTTGACTATTTGCTCGTAGAATTGAGTTATTTGACAATTTGCTCATAGAATCGAGTTGACAATTTGCTCATAGAATTGAGTTCTTTGAACAGCTTGTGTACAAAAAATGCAAGCCACCAGTCGACTCACGAGGTCAGCTAGGAAACACACCTTTACACTACGCCGCCCAGTACGGAAATGACGCGATGTGCCGATGGCTGGTGAATGTGTTTTCTAATATTTTACTCATACACAAGTTTGTCACATACTTTATTCATACACAAGTTTGTCACATACTTTATTCATACACAAATTTGTCACATACTTTATTCATACACATGTTTGTCACATACTTTATTCATACACATGTTTGTCACATACTTTATTCATACACAAATTTGTCACATACTTTATTCATACACATGTTTGTCACATACTTTATTCATACACAATTTTGTCACATACTTTATTCATACACAAGTTTGTCACATACTTTATTCATACACAAATTTGTCACATACTTTATTCATACACAAGTTTGTCACATACTTTATTCATACACAAATTTGTCACATACTTTATTCATACACATGTTTGTCACATACTTTATTCATACACAATTTTGTCACATACTTTATTCATACACAAGTTTGTCACATACTTTATTCATACACAAGTTTGTCAAATACTTTATTCATACACACTGGTGGAAGCATTTATTTTGCATAAATATGTGAAAGGGGGGGGGGGTAGCCTTAGGTTTTTTGGGGTGAGTAAGGGGATAGCCGTGAGTTTTTTTTTTTTTTTTTTTTTTGGGTGGGTGGGGGGTGTGCCACCCCTAAAAGGCTAGCAGACAATACATGACCGGCTAGCAGATAATACATGACAGGCTACTAGCAGATAATATATAGTAGGCTAGCAGATAATACACGACAGGCTACTAGCAGATACTATATAGTAGGCTAGCAGATAATACATGACAGGCTACTAGCAGATAATATATAGTAGGCTAGCAGATAATACATGACAGGCTACTAGCAGATAATATATAGTAGGCTAGCAGATAATACATAGTAGGCTAGCAGATAATACATGACAGGCTACTAGCAGATAATATATAGTAGGCTAGCAGATAATACATAGTAGGCTAGCAGATAATACGAGACAGGCTAGCAGATAATCAATCTTAGAAAGTGTAACATTAAATTGTATTTTAATTTTTTTTATTCAAAATGAATTTTAGCAGCGATTAAGTAATCTTTAGATTATAAAACATTCTGCAACATTTTAATATAAAATCTGCTTAATACACACATTGTTTAATGCTTTAAAAAAATGCTGTTCTAAAAATATAAAATTACAATTGCGCGGGTATATTCTGAAGTTTGACATAAATTAAGGTGAAGGTGGGGGGGGGGGGGGGTGTACGATATGTGACTATAAGTAACGATGGGTAGGGGTGGAGGTTGTCGTAAAAAGCATGCCTTGAATTATGTATTCACTCACCCTAGGGGTGGAGGTTGTCGTAAAAAGCATGCCTTGAATTATGTGTTCACTCACCCTCTACAGCTCCAGCGTGGTGCTGACATCAAGGCTCGATGTACGCGCATGGCGACTCCATTTATGATTGGCTGCAAGCAGGGCCACATCAATGTCATGCACACACTGTTTCTTGCTGGTATCTTTTCACATACTAGTCATACTAGTCTTTCCTTATCAATATATATATATATATATATATATATATATATATATATATATATATATATATATATATATATATATATATATATATATATATATATATATATATATATATGCGGGCGAGTGTATGTGTGCGTGCGTGTGTGGTGAGATACATATGTATGTGCGCGTGTCTATAGAATGTAGACCTCATGAGTTTATGAGATTTGATGACATTAAAATCCTTATCTGTAAATCGAGTCTAAGAGAGTTGATCTAATGTTTGTTTAGACACCGAATCAGGAGAGGTGAGCGCCCTGACTGATGTAGACGATGAATGGATGGGATGTCTACATTACGCTGTCTCAGAGAACCAATATCAGGTCATTCATTCCTTGGCATCTGCTTCAGCCCATTCTTTATTGTATCAACATTTTAGAACGCAATTCTAAAAAATTAACCTAACAAGGCTTACTCAACCAGATAATTAAGTGTTCTTTTAAAATTATCAGTGATTATAATTAAAATTTGTCATTAAATCATTAACCCTGAGTTAAACCATTAGCCCTGTGTGTGTTATTAAAGTAAAATTAGCCCTTTGTGTATGTGGTATAAGTTAAACCATTAGCCCCAGAGCCGGCGTTAGGAATACGCGGGGCCTAGGGCCAACCATCCGCGCGGGGCCTTACCATTATATATATATATATATATATATATATATATATATATATATATATATATATATATATATATATATATGTATAAAGGCCTATATAATGTAATGTACACATAATAACACAAATGTTTTGGAGTTTATAAGCTAATGTCAAACTTTCCACTATAATAACAGATTTTTATCTCTTCCATGTATTAACCCAATGTTCGTAGTTTTTTTTTTTCCTTTGCTAAGATATTAAATCACTTTTAACAGTTATGTAATTCATACCAAATCACTTAAGAAAATTTAATCACGTGCCGAATAATTAGGAAAATAAGGTTTACAATACAGCGAACTCGGCCTGTATAGACTTCAAAATTTGTTTAGAATTCATACAATATTTTAAAACCAAAAACATTATTGTCTTAATTATTGAACGGGTGAATCCTTAAGGTGACACAACATAACAACAGTTTTAACTTTCTTCCAAAAAATAATAATAAATCACTCTGTTTAATGCCGCCTGATATAGATCCTAAGACCCCCCCCCCCTCCTCGTCGCCCTCCTCCCACCCCTCTGCACGCAACTGAATGTTAATTTTGTTATACCAAGACAAGTAGGCCTACATATAGAGTAGCCCCCCCCCACCCTAAAAACGAAATGAAATTTATATAATTTATAGAGAAAATATATACTTTTAACAGTGTCCGCACCCCCCCCCCCCCCGAAGAAAGTCTACCGCCCCCCCCCCCCCCGAAAATTTCAAGTGCCCCTCGCCCCCGGAGAAAAAAGTCTGGAAGAAGCACTGTACATATACGACATTTAATACGACATCTACAACAAGAAAGTCAGGACTAGAGTTCATCAGGTTACTAACTGTCTACTATAGACATCCCGTCTGCCAGAGCCGGCGTTAGGAACACGCGGGGCCTAGTGCTAACCATCCGCGCGGGGCCTGTTTTTTTCCATTATATAAATAGCCTATACATATATATATATATATATATATATATATATATATATATATATATATATATATATATATATATATATATATATATATATATATATATATTATACATGCACACATAATAACAGATAAATGTTTTGGAGTTTATAAGCTAATGCTTAACTTCTCACTATAAAAACAGATGTTTACCTCTCCCGCGTTTTACCCAATGTTCTTAGTTGTTTTTTTCTTGCTAAGATATTAAATCACTTTTGACAGTTATGTAATCCATACCAAAAAATCTCCAGGAAATTCAATGGCATGCCAAAAACTTAGGACAATAAAGTTGTTAAAATTGTTTGTTGATGACCAATAGTTAATATAAAAGTCAAGCGTTTTAGGTGTATTTAAAAAAAAAAAGACTGTACCGCTAGTAACTTAGTAAGCGCAGAATTTTAGACACATTTTAATATCAACAAAACAAGAGTAATTAATTAAAAGTTAAAACAAATAGAAAAATATAGCTTTTGGACTTAGCTCGAATCGTGAATTAACAATTGTTACGAATCGTGAAAACCCACTCTATGTTTATGGATATCCAAAAGAAATCATTCTCAAACGTAATCACTGACGCTCAGTGTAGGGTGGAGCTTTGGGGTGGGTGGCTACTGGATCTCTGACCGAAGAAGGTTTGTGTTTGTAGAGCGTACAAGTATTACATTACCGGTCATGATCGAGGTCTCACAAGAGAAGGTTCGTGACTATAATTAGGGAGAAAACGACGTGACAGCCAGCTACACCTTATTTATGAGTTTCCCGACGGCATGTTCGGGCTGCCGTGAATGCCGGTATTTTAGACGTGTGAGAAATCAGGACAACTTTACAATAAAGCAAACTCGGCCCGAGGTATCAAAACAGTATGGACTTCAAAATTTGTTTAGAATCCATACAATATTTTAAACCAATCATCATTATGCTCCAAACTATTGTAAAGGATATCCTACAATAAAAAAAATGTGCGTTTATTAATGACTACCATATCACTGCCCCTCAACGATGCCCATTCCTACATAAAAGTTGTGCGACGCGGACAATTCGATGACTATATTGTCTCAGCACCATTGGAAACTATTGTATATAACAATTTGAATGAATTCGGTAAATTAATAATTATGTTTGGGAACACATGAATCTTTAAGATGACACAACATAACAACACTTTTACTTTCTTCCAAAAAATAAATAATAAATCACCCTGTTGGATTCCCCCCCCCCCCCCCCCCCGCCCCTATGCCCGCCAGTGAATGTTAATTTTGTTATACCAAGACAAGTAGGCCTACATATACGACACCTATCTACAACAAGAAAGTCGGGACTAGCGTTCACTAACTGTGTACTACAGGCATCCCGTCTGTTCACTACAAATCTTCATCGGCCCGCATACAATAAGGTATCTGATTACGGGGTTTCCAAATTTTCCTCCCTGGTCAGGTCGGGCGCTAATTCGAGTCCACCCATCTCCATCACCTCAGGTCAAATGCGAGGTGACCGTACCCTTCACACAGGGAGGTGTGTGACACTATAATTTACGGCCTGTCCCAGTTTAGGTGGGTGATAACTCACTAACATCAACCAGGGCCTCAGTTACAACAATCAACAACGTCGGCATTCGACCATTTAGTTTTTCACGTGAATTCAGCAACAATTATTTAAGTTTACGAACTAATTCAGATAACTGTGACGATGCTGAAGCGCGGGGCCCCTCCAAGCGCGGGGCCTGGGGCGGCCGCCCCGTTCGCCACCCCCAAACGCCGACTCTGCCGTCTGCTCACTCAAAGGACGTCTTCATCGGTCCGCATACAATAGGGTATCTCTTTACGTCATGGGCTAATTCTCGACCGCCATCTCCAGTCAGCTCAGGTCAAATGCCAGGCGACCGTACCCTACACAAAGGGTAGGTGTGACACTATTTTTGTATCGAATTACGGCCTGTCCCAGTTCAGGTGGGACTCACCATTATCAACCGTGGCCTCAGATATAACAATCAACAACGTCGGCATTCGACCATTTAGTTTTTCCCAATTGAGTTCAGCAACATTCTTTTTTAAGTTTACGAACTAATTCAGATAACAATGACAGTGCTGAAGCGCGGGGCCCCTTCAAGCGCGGGGCCTATGGCGACCGCCCCGTTCGCCACCCCCTAACGCTGGCTCTGATTAGCCCTATGCTGTTGTACAAGTTAAACCATTAGCCATGTGTGTGCTGTACAAGTTAAACCATTAGCCCTGCGTGTTGTACAAGTTAAACCATTAGCCCTGTGTGTGGTACGAATTAAACCATTAGTTAAACCATTGTACAACACAATTAAAAAGAAAGCTCTGTTGAAATGGAATGTAATTGATCCAACAGGCCTCACTAGAACTGCTACAGTGGGGAGCCAATCCCAACACACAGAACGTAAGTTGACACAAGCTGATGACTGATTGCTTTCTTATCGCTGATTGCTGCAACAGATGGCTTAGATTAGTTGCCTCTCTCCAGGTGTACTTGATGACCCCACTCCACATCTGTGCTGTGGACGGCTACAGCCAGCTAGCCACGCTCCTGCTGTCCTATCACGCGGACCCCGAGATCAAAGACAAGGTTGGGAGAACACCGCTCTACAGGTGAGATCTTTGTTGTTTAGGTTGGTAGAACACCGCTCAACAGGTGAGATCTTTGTTGTTTAGGTTGGCAGTACACCTCTCTACAGGTGAGATCTTTGTTGTTTAGGTTGGTAGAACACCGCTCAACAGGTGAGATCTTTGTTGTTTAGGTTGGTAGAACACCGCTCAACAGGTGAGATATTTGTTGTTTAGGTTGGCAGAACACCTTTGTACAGGTGAGATCTTTGTTGCTTAGGTTGGGAGAACACCTCTCTACAGGTGAGATCTTTGTTGTTTAGGTTGGCAGAACACCTCTCTACAGGTGAGATCTTTGTTGTTTAGGTTGGGAGAACACTTCTCTACAGGTGAGATCTTTGTTGCTTAGGTTGGGAGAACACCTCTCTACAGGTGAGATATTTGTTGTTTAGGTTGGTAGAACACCTTTGTACAGGTGAGATCTTTGATGTTTATGTTGGCAGAACACCTTTGTACAGGTGAGATATTTGTTGCTTAGGTTGGGACAACATCTCTCTACAGGTGAGATATTTGTTGCTTATGTTGGCAGAACACCTTTGTACAGGTGAGATCTTTGTTGCTTAGGTTGGGACAACACCTCTCTACAGGTGAGATATTTGTTGCTTAGGTTGGAAGAACACCTCTCTACAGGTGAGATCTTTGTTGCTTAGGTTGGGACAACACCTCTCTACAGGTGAGATATTTGTTGCTTAGGTTGGGAGAACACCTCTCTACAGGTGAGATATTTGTTGCTTAGGTTGGAAGAACACCTCTCTACAGGTGAGATCTTTGTTGTTTAGGTTGGGACAACACCTCTCTACAGGTGAGATATTTGTTGCTTAGGTTGGCAGAACACCTTTGTACAGGTGAGATCTTTGTTGTTTAGGTTGGCAGAACACCTCTCTACAGGTGAGATAATTGTTGTTTAGGTTGGGACAACACCTCTCTACAGGTGAGATATTTGTTGCTTAGGTTGGCAGAACACCTCTCTACAGGTGAGATAATTGTTGTTTAGGTTGGGACAACACCTCTCTACAGGTGAGATATTTGTTGCTTAGGTTGGCAGAACACCTCTCTACTGGTGAGATCTTTGTTGTTTAGGTTGGGACAACACCTCTCTACAGGTGAGATCTTTGTTGTTTAGGTTGGCAGTACACCTCTCTACAGGTGAGATATTTGTTGCTTAGGTTGGGAGAACACTTCTCTACAGGTGAGATCTTTGTTGTTTAGGTTGGGAGAACACCTTTGCACAGGTGAGATATTTGTTGCTTAGGTTGGGACAACACCTCTCTACAGGTGAGATATTTGTTGTTTAGGTTGGCAGAACACCTTTGTACAGGTGAGATCTTTGTTGTTTAGGTTGGCAGAACACCTCTCTACAGGTGAGATATTTGTTGTTTAGGTTGGGAGAACACTTCTCTACAGGTGAGATCTTTGTTGCTTAGGTTGGAAGAACACCTCTCTACAGGTGAGATATTTGTTGTTTAGGTTGGCAGAACACCTTTGTACAGGTGAGATATTTGTTGTTTAGGTTGGGAGAACACCTTTGTATAGGTGAGATATTTGTTGCTTAGGTTGGGACAACACCTCTCTACAGGTGGGATCTTTGTTGTTTAGGTTGGCAGTACACCTCTCTACAGGTGAGATCTTTGTTGCTTAGGTTGGGAGAACACCTTTGTACAGATGAGATATTTGTTGTTTAAGTTGGGAGAACACCTTTGTACAGGTGAGATATTTGTTGTTTAGGTTGGCAGAACACCTCTCTACAGGTGAGATCTTTGTTGTTTAGGTTGGGACAACACCTCTCTACAGGTGAGATCTTTGTTGTTTAAGTTGGCAGAACACCTTTGTACAGGTGAGATCTTTGATGTTTATGTTGGCAGAACACCTTTGTACAGGTGAGATATTTGTTGTTTAGGTTGGCAGTACACCTCTCTACAGGTGAGATCTTTGTTGTTTAGGTTGGGAGAACACCTTTGTACAGGTGAGATCTTTGTTGTTTAGGTTGGCAGTACACCTCTCTACAGGTGAGATATTTGTTGCTTAGGTTGGGAGAACACTTCTCTACAGGTGAGATCTTTGTTGTTTAGGTTGGGAGAACACCTTTGTACAGGTGAGATATTTGTTGCTTAGGTTGGGACAACACCTCTCTACAGGTGGGATCTTTGTTGTTTAGGTTGGCAGAACACCTCTCTACAGGTGAGATCTTTGTTGCTTAGGTTGGGACAACACCTCTCTACAGGTGAGATCTTTGTTGTTTAGGTTGGCAGTACACCTCTCTACAGGTGAGATCTTTGTTGCTTAGGTTGGGAGAACACCTTTGTACAGATGAGATATTTGTTGTTTAGGTTGGCAGTACACCTCTCTACAGGTGAGATCTTTGTTGTTTAAGTTGGGAGAACACCTTTGTACAGGTGAGATATTTGTTGTTTAGGTTGGCAGAACACCTCTCTACAGGTGAGATCTTTGTTGTTTAGGTTGGGACAACACCTCTCTACAGGTGAGATCTTTGTTGTTTAAGTTGGCAGAACACCTTTGTACAGGTGAGATCTTTGATGTTTATGTTGGCAGAACACCTTTGTACAGGTGAGATATTTGTTGTTTAGGTTGGCAGTACACCTCGCTACAGGTGAGATCTTTGTTGTTTAGGTTGGGAGAACACCTTTGTACAGGTGAGATCTTTGTTGTTTAGGTTGGCAGTACACCTCTCTACAGGTGAGATATTTGTTGCTTAGGTTGGGAGAACACTTCTCTACAGGTGAGATCTTTGTTGTTTAGGTTGGGAGAACACCTTTGTACAGGTGAGATATTTGTTGCTTAGGTTGGGACAACACCTCTCTACAGGTGGGATCTTTGTTGTTTAGGTTGGCAGAACACCTCTCTACAGGTGAGATATTTGTTGTTTAGGTTGGCAGAACACCTCTCTACAGGTGAGATCTTTGTTGCTTAGGTTGGGACAACACCTCTCTACAGGTGGGATCTTTGTTGTTTAGGTTGGCAGAACACCTCTCTACAGGTGAGATATTTGTTGTTTAGGTTGGGACAACACCTCTCTACAGGTGAGATATTTGTTGCTTAGGTTGGCAGTACACCTCTCTACAGGTGAGATATTTGTTGCTTAGGTTGGGACAACACCTCTCTACAGGTGAGATATTTGTTGCTTAGGTTGGGACAACACCTCTCTACAGGTGAGATCTTTGTTGTTTAGGTTGGTAGAACACCGCTCTACAGGTGAGATATTTGTTGCTTAGGTTGGGACAACACCTCTCTACAGGTGAGATCTTTGTTGTTTAGGTTGGTAGAACACCGCTCTACAGGTGAGATATTTGTTGTTTAGGTTGGTACAACACCTCTCTACAGGTGAGATCTTTGTTGTTTAGGTTGGCAGTACACCTCTCTACAGATGAGATCTTTGTTGCTTAGGTTGGGAGAACACCTCTCTACAGGTGAGATCTTTGTTGCTTAGGTTGGCAGTACACCTCTCTACAGGTGAGATCTTTGTTGTTTAGGTTGGCAGTACACCTCTCTACAGGTGAGATCTTTGTTGTTTATGTTGGCAGAACACCTTTGTACAGGTGAGATATTTGTTGCTTAGGTTGGCAGTACACCTCTCTACAGATGAGATCTTTGTTGTTAAGTTGGGAGAACACCTCTCTTCAGGTGAGATAATAAGCGTTGAATGATTCGATTATTGGCGCATCAAAATGAAAAAAATCTGACAAATGCTTTAAGTGTACAGTCTTCATCATTGTCGTAGCGAGGTCGGGTGTTACCAGGTGCGGCACATAATGGCGTCACCCCCAGAGGCGTAGCGACCCTTCCCGGCGCCCAGGGACAAACTTTCAATTTACGATTTGCACCCCCCCCCCCTCTCAAACGTTCGATTTGCACCCCCACTCAAACTTTCAATTTCCACCCCCCTCCCTCAAATTTTCGATTTGCACCCCCCCCCCCCCCTCAATCCTTGTCGGGATTTGTCAAATTTGCTCTTAAAAGACTTTTTAACACTCGAAATAACCACTTAATTAAGAGGAATTATCATTTTTCTCTATATATTTTGCTTTTTTTTGCCTTGGTGTCACCCCTCTCCCTGTAAATGGTGTCACCCGGTGCAGTCCGCACCCCCCCCCCCTCGCTACGACACTGGTCTTCATCATTACATATCCGATATGATGTTTGACCAAACCAGATATAATTTAAACACAATTTGATAGAACAAATAACACAATTTGAAAAAACAAATAACACAATTTGATAGAACAAATAACACAATTTGATAGAACAAATAACACAATTTGATAGAACAAATAACACAATTTGATAGAACAAATAACACAATTTGATAGAACAAATAACACAATTTGAAAAAACAAATAACACAATTTGATAGAACAAATAACACAATTTGAAAAAACAAATAACACAATTTGATAGAACAAATAACACAATTTGATAGAACAAATAACACAATTTGATAGAACAAATAACACAATTTGATAGAACAAATAACACAATTTGATAGAACAAATAACACAATTTGATAGAACAAATAACACAATTTGATAGAACAAATAACACAATTTGATAGAACAAATAACACAATTTGAAAAAACAAATAACACAATTTGATAGAACAAATAACACAATTTGATAGAACAAATAACACAATTTGATAGAACAAATAACACAATTTGATAGAACAAATAACACAATTTGAAAAAACAAATAACACAATTTGATAGAACAAATAACACAATTTGAAAAAACAAATAACACAATTTGATAGAACAAATAACACAATTTGATAGAACAAATAACACAATTTGATAGAACAAATAACACAATTTGATAGAACAAATAACACAATTTGATAGAACAAATAACACAATTTGATAGAACAAATAACACAATTTGATAGAACAAATAACACAATTTGATAGAACAAATAACACAATTTGATAGAACAAATAACACAATTTGATAGAACAAATAACACAATTTGAAAAAACAAATAACACAATTTGATAGAACAAATAACACAATTTGAAAAAACAAATAACACAATTTGATAGAACAAATAACACAATTTGATAGAACAAATAACACAATTTGATAGAACAAATAACACAATTTGATAGAACAAATAACACAATTTGATAGAACAAATAACACAATTTGATAGAACAAATAACACAATTTGATAGAACAAATAACACAATTTGATAGAACAAATAACACAATTTGATAGAACAAATAACACAATTTGAAAAAACAAATAACACAATTTGATAGAACAAATAACACAATTTGAAAAAACAAATAACACAATTTGATAGAACAAATAACACAATTTGATAGAACAAATAACACAATTTGATAGAACAAATAACACAGTTTGATAGAACAAATAACACAATTTGATAAAACAAATAACACAATTTGATCAAACAAATACCAGCATCTTTTGTTTATTTTTCAGGGCTGTTGAGCATAGGAAAATAGAAGTTATATTGGCTTTAATTAAAGGGGTAAGTTAATCATTCATTTGGTCTCAGGAAAATAGAAGTTATATTGGCTTTAATTAAAGGGGTAAGTTAATTATTCATTTGGTCACAGGAAAATAGAAGTTATATTGGCTTTAATTAAAGGGGTAAGTTAATTATTCATTTTGGTCACATGAAATTAGTAGAGTTGTTATCTTTAATTGTAAGAGATAATAATTGATTTGAACATAGTTGTGTAAGTAAAAAAGTAAGCTAGTCGTTGATTCTCACACAAGTAAATATTTCCTTTTTATTATTAACACGTTTTTCTTAACTCAGCTTCGCGTTTGTTTGTTTGTGGGTTTGTTGTTAAAATTGACAACAAAAATTAGCCCACTTCTGATTGCTCTAGACATCTGAAATTCGGCATGCAGGCTATTTTCGCCTAACAATTTCAGATGCAATCATAAAAACTAGCAATTAGAGACCTAAATTAGCATAATTAAATTACGCCCCAAGGACCCTAAAATTGAGGACATGATTTCTAAAGATACCGACAAGACTGGAGGCCTATTGACACAGTTACTTCGGCCCCAATCAATGTGAGCGCGCTGGCCGTGATCGTATAGTGGTTAGTACTTCGCGTTGTGGCCGCGACAACCCAGGTTCGAATCCTGGTCACGGCATGTAGGCTGCTGTGGGTCTCGCACTGCCAAGCAAGTTTGCGATATCATTGGGAAGGCGTTTATCTTGAAAGATGCTATTAGAAATCAGTGAAGTTTAAGTTACGAGTTTTAACTTCAAAACACACCCACATAGAATTTATTTTGATAAAAAATACTCAAATTTTTTTGTATTTAAAAACACTTAGTCAAGTCATACTTAATCAAGTAATTAGATAAAGTAGAAAATAAACTATATAAAAAACTTTTTAAAAACCACGTTTTTCATGTGTAGCAACGGACTAAAAAGGAGAAAATAAAATACTTAAAAAAACCTTTTTAAACAACCACGTTTTTCTTGCGGACTAAGAAGTAGAAAATACATTTTTCTTCCTACCCTAAGGGGTCTACCAATGACTGCTCGTAGATTTTGTGCTTCCTCGAGCTGTGCAGGTTCTTGTGATGACTGTTCATACATTTGATGACAAAAAACGTGGGTCGGGCAGATGGGTCGGTAAATTTGATGGTGAACGTACCCACGTTTTTTGTCATCAAATGTATGAACAGCCATCACAAGAACCTGCACAGCTCGAGGTAGCACAAAATCTACGAGCAGTCATTGGTAGACCCCTTAGGGTCGGAAGAAAAATTTATTTTCTACTTTTTAGTCCGCAAGAAAAACGTGGTTGTTTAAAAAGTTTTTTAAAAGTATTTTATTAGTTTATTTTCGTCCAGGGAGACAGCACTCTTTCTTCGGGGGAGGGGGGGGGGTTTGCGGTGCCCTGTTTGGAGAGTAAAGAGGTAGAAACTCTGCTGACATAAAGTCTAGTAGTTGTCAGTTCTCTAGCAGAAAGGTCCAGAAATTATCATTTTCAAATTGATCCAGGCAAGCGGTCGATAACTGTGTTGACGTAATTAGACTTTAGCAAACAGCGCTACCAACCGTTGGTGGTTAACAAGACCGACTGTACCGCCGGCCGTTAACAACTTAAGCTGTATCAGTCGTTAACAAGCCTGACTGTACCTGTCGTTAACAAGCCTGACTGTACCGGTCGTTAACAAGCCTGACTGTACCTGTCGTTAACAAGTAATACTGTACCGGTCGTTAACAAGCCTGACTGTACCTGTCGTTAACAAGCCTGACTGTACCTGTCGTTAACAAGTAGGACTGTACCTGTCGTTTACAAGCCTGACTGTACCTGTCGTTAACAAGTAATACTGTACCGGTCGTTAACAAGCCTGACTGTACCTGTCGTTAACAAGCCTGACTGTACCTGTCGTTAACAAGTAGGACTGTACCGGTCGTTAACAAGCCTGACTGTACCGGTCGTTAACAAGCCTGACTGTACCTGTCGTTAACAAGCCTGACTGTACCTGTTGTTAACAAGCCTGACTGTACCGGTCGTTAACAAGTAGGACTGTACCAGTCGTTAACAAGTAGGACTGTACCGGTCGTTGATGGCAAATGATTCAAACAAAAGTGGCCAGCTATTTGTTTGGCTTCCTACAAGTTAAATGCACTTCAAACCGGTTTAAGTTATTCATTTATTGAACGATGTTTCTGAACAAACACATGAAGAACTGTTTAAATGTTTGAGAGATGGGCCATACTAATATGTTTTTCAAATGACAGTTTAACTAATGGCTTTTCAAGAGATGGGCCAAACTAATATGTTTTTCAAATGACAGTTTAACTAATGGCTTTTCAATGATATCTATTTGCATAATGCCGAATGAGCTCTTTGATTTTTAGATGTTAAACATCAATCATATCAAATTATAAATAAAAAAACAACAACCTCACATATGTTTCAATTCAATTAGAGTAGAACAATTAATGGAGTCACCAAGCACAACATTTCTAACGTTAATTTTAATTTCGAATGTTTTGGACAACTAACATAATAATAAGTAAAGCTAATAGATAAGAGAAGGGTGGTGAATATATTGTGAAAACTAATATGATAACAAGTAAAGTTTATAGATAAGAGAATGATGGCGAATGTATTTGGACTACTAACAAAATAATAAAGTTTATAGATGACGGATGGTAAATGTATTGGGACTACTAACATAATAATAAGTAAAGTTTATAGATGCGAGAAGGATGTTGAATACTAACTTAATAAAAAGTCAAGTTTATAGATAGGAGAAGGATGGTGAAACTACAACCTGACCAGCCATCTGCAACGAGTGGTCTACATGGGAGTGTAAGTTCTTACTGCGATGAAAACTGTGTGCAGTTGATGTAGGCTGTCGGAGTTGCTGGTAGTTCGTTACACTAGACTACCTGTTATCCTTGGATAACTGTGGGTTTCGGGGGTCATCCATACAGGAAGTCACGATTATTTGACGATTTTGATCTTTCACTTCTCCTCCATACTGTCACACATCGTCACAAAAAGCTAGACCCCCACATTCAAAAAGACGTCACACCCAATCATCTTTTGTCTTTTAAAAACACCAAATCGGCTGAGCATGACTCTGACCACACTATCCATGAGGTCACAGAAACAGGTGAACCCTACTTCACCTGCCAGTTTCCCGCCAAGCCTCAAACAACATATTTTTGTCTTTTAAAACACAGATTTCGGCTTTGGTTGCTCATGAGATTGTTTATAAATAAAGTGATTAATTGTTCTGAACTTTTTAAATTAAAGTGGTGTTTCTACCAATGAATATATTAATAAATTAATTAACGTCTTTAAATGAATTTTTGATTAACAGTCTGGTAAAAAAGAACATCATTCTCTACATGAATACATATTTTACAGTTCTACACATAGAGCAGATGCTCTCATGTAACGAAACAAACAAAAAAATAAAATAAATAAAAAATAAATTAATTAATATACAAACTTGTAAACAAAGTCGAGTTTTTGTAGAATATAGATAGAACTGGTGAGTCGTGACATGTTGTGTGGCAGGTGGAGACACATTGTGTGGCAGATGATGAGACATTTGTGTGGCAGGTGGTGACACGTTGTATGGCAGGTGGTGACATGTTGTATGGCAGGTGGTGACACATTATGTGACAGGTGGTGACACGTAGTATGGCAGGTGGTGACACGTTGTATGGCGGGTGGTGACACGTGGTATGGCAGGTGGTGACACATTATGTGGCAGGTGGTGACACGTTGGGTGGCAGATGGTGACACATCGTGTGGCAGGTGGTGACACATTATGTGGCAGGTGGTGACACGTTGTATGGCGGGTGGTGACACGTGGTATGGCAGGTGGTGACACATTATGTGGCAGGTGGTGACACGTTGCTTGGCAGGTGGAGCTAAACGAAAAAAAAAAACTACTAATGTGTCATCACATGATTCCTTAGGGAGCGGACTTGAACACCACAGACCAGAATCAGGAGACGCCGCTGATCATGGCCTGCAGAAAAGGTTTTGAAGATGTTGTCAAGTTTCTGTTAGACAACGGCGCGGACCTTACGGTGAAAAACTTCATCAGCAATAACTGCCTGCACGTCGCCGCTAAAGAAAATCGTCTCGAGGTCTTTAAATTATTACTTGAGGTCAGACCTTTTGTTCACATTAGAAATATTTAAAAAATATTACTTGAGGTCTGACATTTTGTTCACATCTAGAAATATTTAAATATTACTTGAGGTCAGACCTTTCGTTACATCTAGAAATATTTTAAAAATATTACTTTAGGTTGACATTTTGTTCACATCTAGAAATATTTAAATATTACTTGAGGTCAGACCTTTCATTACATCTAGAAATATTAAAAAAAATATTACTTGAGGTCTGACATTTTGTTCACATCTAGAAATATTTAAATATTACTTGAGGTCAGACCTTTCGTTACATCTAGAAATATTTAAAAAATATTACTTGAGGTCTGACATTTTGTTCACATCTAGAAATATTTAAATATTACTTGAGGTCAGACCTTTCGTTACATCTAGAAATATTTTAAAAATATTACTTTAGGTTGACATTTTGTTCACATCTAGAAATATTTAAAATATTATTTGAGGTCAGAACTTTTGTTTACATCTAGAAGTTTATATTATTTGAGATCAGACCTTTCGTTACATCTAGAAATATTTAATGCATTACTGAGGTTTGAAGTATGGTTTATAATGATCTAGAAGAACTTGATAAGCAAAAATGTCTTATAAAAACAATAAGGCCGGATAAATCATCCTGGTATAGACTTATTTTAAAAAAAATTGTCATATATACTGATTAAATATGTTCAAACTTTTAGAATATGCCATTGAATATAGATTTTGATTTGAAATACTTGATTAAAATAAATCAATTACAAATGTTGAAAACGCTGGAAGTGCTTATATCGGTCAACGGTGGACGAAATGACCTGCTTGTTTCGGTCAAAGTTTTTCTATATTTAGCTTCTATTTCTAGGCAAATCTATTTAATACTTTTTGAATAACTAATGTTTATAAAGAGCTGTTTTCAATGGGTTTGAGTATCGACGTGCCAGTATTGTGAGGCGCCAGGTGAAAGAAGGCTACGTGTTCCCAGACCGTTATAGCTACGGTGTTTTTCTTTTGCTTATTGTGCTAATGGCTTTAACAATATAATGTGAACGCTTTACACTGGTACCTCGACATTTGAGTGCTCCGACAAGCCAGAAAAGTTTCAACTGATTGTACCTCGCATCTGTTTAATCTCATCGGCCTCACTTCTATAACATTCTAAAGAAAAAGAGGTGGGGGGGGGGACGACAACCATCCATAAAACATTTTGTTTGAAGCGGCCTGCACGTGAAGCGAGTACAATGAAAAAATACCAGTGTAAAGAAAAGCGGTCAAGAAAATTAAGCAAATGTAATTTTAATTATCAATTAGCATTACAGTTCAACTATGTTCAGTAAATTTCAGTTGTTCCATTAAGTTTAGGGATAAAGTGTGGCATTATGAGAGTAAGGTGTAGGCGAATTAAAGTGGTAGAAAAAGTTGAGCACTAATAGTGTAGAGAGTAGAGAGTAGGTGAACGAAGTCACGTTCCCCCCCCCCCCCCCCCTTCCGTCAGCATCTTCAGTTAACTCAAGTCAGCTGATTTCCAAAAATAAAATACTGTGGAAAAATGTTTGTTTCTTTATATTCTCCTTTATTATGCTTTAATAAAATATTTGTTTTTTTTTATAACTACATTTTGTTATTGAAATACGTTACACAAACAAGTGGGTTGCATTTTAGTGTCTGGAACGGATTATTGAGATTTGACACAATTTCAATAGAGAACGTTGCTTTGAGATACAAACTTGCAAGCGATGGTACGGAGTTCTTTCACTAGATACCAATGTATTTCTATATTAGGGTTAGGTGTTGGGGTGAGGGGTTGGGGTTAAGGTTTTGGTTAGTCTATGAAAATAATCATGATTTTTATCAGAGCAAAGATTCAGAATTTTAATTGAATGAATTAAATTAGCATCTTTCTATCAACTACAGTAAGAGAATGTAAGACAAGGGTTTATTTCTTCAAAAGCCCAGTGTTTATTTCTTCAAAAGCCCACTGTATATTTCTTCAAAAGCCCATCGCCGGAAATGAGTTTATTTCCTTAAAAGCCCATTGGTGGGAAAAAAGAGCGTTTGCTTTTTTCGCATTCCATTGTCCGCTATAAGCACTGCCGAACAAACTAAACAAAAAGTTATTTGTGTATCAGCAGAAAAGTGATAGAAAACTTTTATCAGCGCTGGACATATTTGACCAGACTGTGTTCCATCATGCCGCCAGACAAAAGGACATTCGAGTGAGTTGACACTATGTGGACATTTAGAATTGTAGGAGCATCTCCTTAGCTCGGCGGACTAACGATCAAATTTGATTGATAAACATAAAAGCGCTGAGATTTTTTCGTTTAGCTGTGCTGTGTACGGCTGTTTTGTACTGGGCTGTGTTATCTACAGCACGCTTTTATAATTGTTTTATTTATAAACGCAGTTAATAGACCAGCTCATCTACAGGGGTTGTTGCCCAGAAACACAGGACGCTCTGGGATCTACTCCACTTCATGTGGCAGCTAAGTAGACGGCATTTTCCTTTCAATTCTTTCTTTTAGTCGGATATATTTTCTTTTCAATTCTTTCTTTTAGTCGGATATATTTTCTTTTCAATTCTTTCTTTTAGTCGGATATATTTTCTTTTCAATTCTTTCTTTTAGTCGGATATATTTTCTTTTCAATTCTTTCTTTTAGTCGGATATATTTTCTTTTCAATTCTTTCTTTTAGTCGGATATATTTTCTTTTCAATTCTTTGTTTTAGTCGGATATATTTTCTTTTCAATTCTTTCTTTTAGTCGGAGATATTTTCTTTTCAATTCTTTCTTTTAGTCGGATATATTTTCTTTTCAATTCTTTCTTTTAGTCGGATATATTTTCTTTTCAATTCTTTCTTTTAGTCGGATATATTTTCTTTTCAATTCTTTCTTTTAGTCGGATATATTTTCTTTTCAATTCTTTCTTTTAGTCGGATATATTTTTTTTTCAATTCTTTCTTTTAGTCGGATATATTTTCTTTTCAATTCTTCCTTTTAGTCGGATATATTTTCATTTCAATTCTTTCTTTTAGTCGGAGATATTTTCTTTTCAATTCTTTGTTTTAGTCGGATATATTTTCTTTTCAATTCTTTCTTTTAGTCGGATATATTTTCTTTTCAATTCTTTCTTTTAGTCGGATATATTTTCTTTTCAATTCTTTCTTTTAGTCGGATATATTTTCTTTTCAATTCTTTGTTTTAGTCGGATATATTTTCTTTTCAATTCTTTCTTTTAGTCGGAGATATTTTCTTTTCAATTCTTTCTTTTAGTCGGATATATTTTCTTTTCAATTCTTTCTTTTAGTCGGATATATTTTCTTTTCAATTCTTTCTTTTAGTCGGAGATATTTTCTTTTCAATTCTTTGTTTTAGTCGGATATATTTTCTTTTCAATTCTTTCTTTTAGTCGGAGATATTTTCTTTTCAATTCTTTCTTTTAGTCGGATATATTTTCTTTTCAATTCTTTGTTTTAGTCGGATATATTTTCTTTTCAATTCTTTGTTTTAGTCGGATATATTTTCTTTTCAATTCTTTCTTTTAGTCGGATATATTTTCTTTTCAATTCTTTCTTTTAGTCGGATATATTTTCTTTTCAATTCTTTCTTTTAGTCGGAGATATTTTCTTTTCAATTCTTTCTTTTAGTCGGATATATTTTCTTTTCAATTCTTTGTTTTAGTCGGATATATTTTCTTTTCAATTCTTTGTTTTAGTCGGATATATTTTCTTTTCAATTCTTTCTTTTAGTCGGAGATATTTTCTTTTCAATTCTTTCTTTTAGTCGGATATATTTTCTTTTCAATTCTTTGTTTTAGTCGGATATATTTTCTTTTCAATTCTTTGTTTTAGTCGAATATATTTTCTTTTCAATTCTTTCTTTTAGTCGGATATATTTTCTTTTCAATTCTTTGTTTTAGTCGGATATATTTTCTTTTGAAATCTTTGTTTTAGTAGGATGTGTATTTTTCTTATTAGTTCTTTTAATCAGATGTTTTTACTGTCTCGTGTACGGACTATAAAGGAAGTATTGTATGTAGTCCCTGAGTCGGAAAAAAAACTTTGTCCGTATGTCTGTGTGTGTCTATGTGTCTATGCGTGTATCTGTGAACACGATAACCTGATTACCGTTTCAGTTATGTTGACGAAATTTATATAAAGGTATTATGTCAAAATTATAAACGGAAGTGGTACTTACCCTACTAACGTTTCTCAAATGCCGCTTAATTGAGTACCCTTTATGTTAGGTGAACGAAATTTTAACTAGGTACATGAAATTTCAATTAAAAGTAAACGATTTCACTTTTGAATTACTTTCAATTTTTGATGGACCTCGGGAATGCGGAAGTGGTACTTTACTCTATTTCTGGTTTCTAAAATACAGATAACTCAAGTACCGTTTCAGTTCGGTGGACAGAATTCCATACACAAGTATAAGATCGTATATATTGGTTTCTCTCTAATTCTCAGTGAAAATGGAAGTAGTAATTTTTTTCGATATTTCAGATATCTCAAAAAATATCATCTCTCTACCGGACCAATTTCTTTTAAACTTTTCTTTTTAAACTTTTGACGAAGACTATATGACAAGCAGACATAAAATGTGAGTTAATTAGATGTTTAATTAACTTTTTCAAAATTAGCAATGTTTCTATTATAAAATACTAATTTTCATTGTGTTTATTGGGGCATTATATTATACCTTTGTTTGAATTCAAGAAGCGACCCATGATTTTATTTTTAGCTATTTAAGTAGTAGTCAAGTATTATCTTAATTCTTCCATTTGCAATTACAAATGCGTTTTTAAATAAGAATATTTTCCTGAATTTTATCAATTTCCTTAAAGAGTTTTTGTGTGTGTATATTTGGCATTCTAAACATAGCATAATTAACATTGCTAATTTCAATTTGCTAAATATTGATATTTATAACAGAACTTCCCTATCAGACGTGGATAAGTTGACTTCCCACAAATTGTGTAACACACATGGCTAAATTCACTCCAGCCAGTATAGTGTAACAAACATTGAAGAGTGAACTCGAGTTGTAAAGTTTGTTCAATCAACCCCATCCCTGTCTATTGTGTCAACACAACTGGGTCCCTAATGCAGCTAGCGGACCGATGTGGACAAATACCCAACCAGCCGTTGTCGGTTTCAAACACGTATTCAACAGCACTTAATTTGACGTCAGTTCTCGAATAACAGGAGCTCAGTCATAGAAGCATTCCAATGTTACCGCTCATGAGTAGAATCCATTTGTATCTATGGCAACGTTTTTAGTTTCACCAGCTCTAAGTCAGACATGTTGACAGACTAGAAGCTAGACTACATGTGGGCTAATGATCGACAGACTAGAAACTAGACTAAATGTGGGCTAATGATCGACAGACTAGAAGCTAGACTACATGTGGGCTAATGATCGACAGACTAGAAACTAGACTACATGTGGGCTAATGATCGACAGACTAGAAGCTAGACTACATGTGAGCTAATGATCGACAGACTAGAAACTAGACTACATGTGGGCTAATGATCGACAGACTAGAAACTAGACTACATGTGGGCTAATGATCGACAGACTAGAAACTAGACTACATGTGGGCTAATGATCGACAGACTAGAAACTAGACTACATGTGGGCTAATGATCGACAGACTAGAAACTAGACTACATGTGGGCTAATGATCGACAGACTAGAAACTAGACTACATGTGGGCTAATGATCGACAGACTAGAAACTAGACTACATGTGGGCTAATGATCGACAGACTAGAAACTAGACTACATGTGGGCTAATGATCGACAGACTAGAAACTAGACTACATGTGGGCTAATGATCGACAGACTAGAAACTAGACTACATGTGGGCTAATGATCGACAGACTAGAAGCTAGACTACATGTGGGCTAATGATTGACAGACTAGAAGCTAGACTACATGTGGGCTAATGATCGACAGACTAGAAACTAGACTACATGTGGGCTAATGATCGACAGACTAGAAACTAGACTACATGTGGGCTAATGATCGACAGACTAGAAACTAGACTACATGTGGGCTAATGATCGACAGACTAGAAACTAGACTACATGTGGGCTAATGATCGACAAACTAGAAGCTAGACTACATGTGGGCTTATGATCGGCATTATACGGAAACAAACCAAATATTTACATGACACTGTAGGACCATGTTTTACAGGTACGGCAGCTACGAGACCGTGAAGCGTCTAGCCGGGGTGGTCAGTGACATCAATGTGCAGAATTACGACAGCAAGAGCGCTTTCTTCTGTGCTTGCGAGATAGGGAACAGGGAAACCATCTCAGCTCTGATTAGCTGCGGAGCTAACGTAAAGGATGCGTAAGCTTTACTAGTCATTTTTAAATACAATTTGCGTGATATATATATATATATATATATATATATATATATATATATATATATATATGAAGGAGTGTATGTCTGTGTGCTTGTCTTTCTTTAATTTTAATGCATTGCAACACCTTTCATCCATTTGCCATAAATGTTTGGGAAGTTGACGAGAAATTAAAAGAAAAAAATGTCTGCTATTAAAAAAAAATTCTGATGATTTAAAAAAATGTTTTTTTGCTAATAAACACATTTTCGGAGATGCGGCGCCACAGTGTTAGTTATATTGCAGTTTTGCGCCCAGAGTTCTGTAGCGGCCACCTTAAAACCTAGTATCCGTTGATTTTGGGCTTTCTGCTCATTTGATCAGGGATACTAGTTGATTCAGAGGTCAACCTGCCCCTACTTTCTTTTTAAAAACGCCATACACTATGTATAAGGTGAGCTACTATAACGGATGACTAAACCAGGCGCGTCCATCGGCGCACAGCGGTTGTGTAACCCGGTGCGCCTCTGGCTTTCCGACCAGCATTAAGGCGCCTAAATTCTTTTTTTAAGAATCTTTACATCAATCTTGTGGGAAAATATGTTTTTAGAACAAGGCTCTTTACCAGCTGTAAATAGGTCTCAGAGTAAAGTTGTATGATCTGGCTATATCATCTCGATAGGTCTCAGGGTAAAGTTGTATGATCTGGCTATATCATCTCGATAGGTCTCAGGGTAAAGTTGTATGATCTGGCTATATTATCTCGATGGGTCTCAGAGTAAAGTTGTATGATCTGGCTATATCATCTCGATAGGTCTCAGAGTAAAGTTGTATGATCTGGCTATATCATCTCGATAGGTCTCAGGGTAAAGTTGGATGATCTGGCTATATCATCTCGATAGGTCTCAGGGTAAAGTTGTATGATCTGGCTATATCATCTCGATAGGTCTCAGAGTAAAGTTGTATGATCTGGCTATATCATCTCGATAGGTCTCAGGGTAAAGTTGTATGATCTGGCTATATCATCTCGATAGGTCTCAGGGTAAAGTTGTATGATCTGGCTATATCATCTCGATAGGTCTCAGGGTAAAGTTGTATGATCTGGCTATATCATCTCGATAGGTCTCAGGGTAAAGTTGTATGATCTGGCTATATCATCTCGATAGGTCTCAGAGTAAAGTTGTATGATCTGGCTATATCATCTCGATAGGTCTCAGGGTAAAGTTGTATGATCTGGCTATATCATCTCGATAGGTCTCAGGGTAAAGTTGTATGATCTGGCTATATCATCTCGATAGGTCTCAGGGTAAAGTTGTATGATCTGGCTATATCATCTCGATAGGTCTCAGGGTAAAGTTGTATGATCTGGCTATATCATTTCGATAGGTCTCAGGGTAAAGTTGTATGATCTGGCTATATCATCTCGATAGGTCTCAGGGTAAAGTTGTATGATCTGGCTATATCATCTCGATAGGTCTCAGGGTAAAGTTGTATGATCTGGCTATATCATCTCGATAGGTCTCAGGGTAAAGTTGTATGATCTGGCTATATCATCTCGATAGGTCTCAGGGTAAAGTTGTATGATCTGGCTATATCATCTCGATAGGTCTCAGAGTAAAGTTGTATGATCTGGTTATATCATCTCGATAGGTCTCAGGGTAAAGTTGTATGATCTGGCTATATCATCTCGATAGGTCTCAGGGTAAAGTTGTATGATGTGGCTATATCATCTCGATAGGTCTCAGGGTAAAGTTGTATGATCTGGCTATATTATCTCGATAGGTCTCAGAGTAAAGTTGTATGATCTGGCTATATCATCTCGATAGGTCTCAGGGTAAAGTTGTATGATCTGGCTATATCATCTCGATAGGTCTCAGGGTAAAGTTGGATGATCTGGCTATATCATCTCGATAGGTCTCAGGGTAAAGTTGTATGATCTGGCTATATCATCTCGATAGGTCTCAGAGTAAAGTTGTATGATCTGGCTATATCATCTCGATAGGTCTCAGGGTAAAGTTGTATGATCTGGCTATATCATCTCGATAGGTCTCAGGGTAAAGTTGTATGATCTGGCTATATCATCTCGATAGGTCTCAGGGTAAAGTTGTATGATCTGGCTATATCATCTCGATAGGTCTCAGGGTAAAGTTGTATGATCTGGCTATATCATCTCGATAGGTCTCAGGGTAAAGTTGTATGATCTGGCTATATCATCTCGATAGGTCTCAGGGTAAAGTTGTATGATCTGGCTATATCATCTCGATAGGTCTCAGGGTAAAGTTGTATGTTCTGGCTATATCATCTCGATAGGTCTCAGAGTAAAGTTGTATGATCTGGCTATATCATCTCGATAGGTCTCAGGGTAAAGTTGTATGATCTGGCTATATCATCTCGATAGGTCTCAGGGTAAAGTTGTATGATCTGGATATATCATCTCGATAGGTCTCAGGGTAAAGTTGTATGATCTGGCTATATCATCTCGATAGGTCTCAGGGTAAAGTTGTATGATCTGGATATATCATCTCGATAGGTCTCAGAGTAAAGTTGTATGATCTGGATATATCATCTCGATAGACTCGCAGTAAATTTATACCCACGCCATGCTTCCACAACGGTACAACTTGCTATGGGGAGTAGTATACTGTTACTTGTTGAATCAAGGGAGCTCCGCCCCCCCCCCCCCCCACCCCGAAGAAAGTCTACCACCCCCCCCCCCCGAACAAAATGAAATTTATATAGAAAATATATACTTTTAACAGTGTCCGTCCCCCCGAAAAAAGTCTACCACCCCACCGAAAATTTCTAGTGCCCCCTTGGAGAAAAAAGTCTGGAAGAAACACTGTCCATGGGCTTCATGAACTTTTATTTCCTATTTGGTCGATCCATAGGCTTCATGAACTTTTATTTCCTATTTGGTCGACCCACGGGCTCCGGGTTCTGTAAATCCCTACTTTACCGTTTCTTTGTCTTGTCTTTCCAGAGACATCCAGTTCAGGGATACCATGATTGTTGCCGCTATGGGAGGGTTTACCGATATCGTTCGTGACCTCATTGAACTGGGGGTTCAAGTCAATAGCAGGGACATGGAGAAAGTAAGTCAACTTTAAAGAGAGTTAGCAGAGGAAAAACATGGAGAAAGTAAGTCAACTTTAAAGAGAGTTAGCGGAGGAAAAACATGGAGAAAGTAAGTCAACTTTAAAGAGAGTTAGCAGAGGAAAACAAAGTTTTATACAACAAATAATCTCACAGTTTTAACTTTTAAATATTTGAGCACACATTTAAGTACCCTGCATCTAAGCCAGTTATTTAACTACAGAACACGCCTTTGCATCTAAGCCAGTTATTTAACTACAGAACACGCCTCTACATCTTGCCTGTGACAACGGCCACGCCTCTACAGTCAAGGTCCTGTTGGAGCACCAGGCTAGCGTGACAGCCGTCAACATCCACGGCAAGAGCCCCCTACACGTGGCTGTTGATAAAAAGAAGACTGAGATTGCAGTTCTGATGATGGAGCACGCTAGGTCAGCAGAGTTTCTTCCAGGCATCTCCCCCCCCCCCCGTAGAAAGTCTACCCCCCCCCCACCCCCCCCCCCCCCACCCCCCGAACGAAATGGAATTTGTATAGAAAATTACACTTTTAAAAAATTCCGTCCCAGGGAAATTTTAGTCCGACCCCCGAAAATTTCGAGACCCCCCCCCCCCTCGCGGAGAAAAAAATTCTGGAAGAAACACTGAAACACTAGGTCAGTCAGCTGGTCAGTGAAAGAGTGCACAAAATGGTGGTCAACTTTTGGAATTGTCTGTACACAGTAAGAAAGTACATGGACATCATAATGTGTGGAATTGTGTGTACACAGTAAGAAAGTACATGGACATCATAATGTGTGGAATTGTGTGTACACAGTAAGAAAGTACATGGACATAATGTGTGGAATTGTCTGTACACAGTAAGAAAGTACATGGACATCATAATGTGTGAAATTGTCTGTACACAGTAAGAAAGTACATGGACATCATAATGTGTGGAATTGTCTGTACACAGGTAGAAAGTACATGGACATCATAATGTGTGGAATTGTGTCTGTACACAGTAAGAAAGTACATGGACATCATAATGTGTGGAATTGTGTGTACACAGTAAGAAAGTACATGGACATCATAATGTGTGGAATTGTGTGTACACAGTAAGAAAGTACATGGACATAATGTGTGGAATTGTCTGTACACAGTAAGAAAGTACATGGACATCATAATGTGTGAAATTGTCTGTACACAGTAAGAAAGTACATGGACATCATAATGTTGGAATTGGCTGTACACAGTTAGAAAGTAAATGGACATCATAATGTGTGAAATTGTCTGTACACAGTAAGAAAGTACATGGACATCATAATGTGTGGAATTGTCTGTACACAGTAAGAAAGTACATGGACATAATGTGTGGAATTGTCTGTACACAGTAAGAAAGTACATGGACATCATAATGTGTGAAATTGTCTGTACACAGTTAGAAAGTACATGGACATCATAATGTGTGGAATTGTCTTTACACAGTAAGAAAGTACATGGACATCATAATGTGTGAAATTGTCTGTACACAGTAAGAAAGTACATGGACATCATAATGTGTGAAATTGTCTGTACACAGTAAGAAAGTACATGGACATCATAATGTGTGGAATTGTCTGTACACAGGTAGAAAGTACATGGACATCATAATGTGTGGAATTGTGTCTGTACACAGTAAGAAAGTACATGGACATCATAATGTGTGGAATTGTGTGTACACAGTAAGAAAGTACATGGACATCATAATGTGTGGAATTGTGTGTACACAGTAAGAAAGTACATGGACATAATGTGTGGAATTGTCTGTACACAGTAAGAAAGTACATGGACATCATAATGTGTGAAATTGTCTGTACACAGTAAGAAAGTACATGGACATCATAATGTTGGAATTGGCTGTACACAGTTAGAAAGTAAATGGACATCATAATGTGTGAAATTGTCTGTACACAGTAAGAAAGTACATGGACATCATAATGTGTGGAATTGTCTGTACACAGTAAGAAAGTACATGGACATAATGTGTGGAATTGTCTGTACACAGTAAGAAAGTACATGGACATCATAATGTGTGAAATTGTCTGTACACAGTTAGAAAGTACATGGACATCATAATGTGTGGAATTGTCTTTACACAGTAAGAAAGTACATGGACATCATAATGTGTGAAATTGTCTGTACACAGTAAGAAAGTACATGGACATCATAATGTGTGAAATTGTCTGTACACAGTAAGAAAGTACATGGACATCATAATGTGTGGAATTGTCTGTACACAGTTAGAAAGTACATGGACATCATAATGTGTGGGCCAGTACGGCTGACACTTTGACTCTCTATTAGGACAAGTGTAAATATTTGGTTTCTACTTCACGGAGAAGTGAAATGCTAGAAATTATTTTCTACTTGTGGTCTAGATGTCAGACAGCAGTGGTAGGGGAGGGGGAGGGTATTCGGAATTTTTAGTGGCGAGAGAGAGAGATGTGAGGAAAAGGGGGAGGGGGGTGTCCAGAAAGTCACAACTTTAAAACGGAATAGTTGCAGTGATTTCAATATTTTTAGGTAAACATTTATCTTTATTACCCCTTTACGCTGGTGCCCATGACAGAAAAAAACTTGTAAAGCTTACGTCCCCTTTACGTTAGTTCCACATTTAACCACAACTGAGCTGGTTTCCAATGAAGGAGTAAAAAATGGAAAATAAATATCACTTTTAAAACAATTTTAAGGAAAAAGACTTTTATTATATTCACAAATCACAAACAAATCACAAATGAAAAAAAAGCAGCAAAAGTAAAAAAATAAATAAATGTAGTTTAGACGCCCTCTTATGGAGAATATATTCCCCTACAGACCGAGTTCAATAAAAGATTCACGTTCTATAACATAAGACCTATGTTCGATTATCGACACTGAGCGCCCAGGCTTTTATTTTTTGTCACACCATCATAATTGCATACTTTTGTAAGGTTACGCCAAACTTTATTTAGTTATTTTTTAGTGCATTTTTGCATTTTTGATTTGTTTATTATTTGTGAATAAATGTGAAACAAAAGCCTTTTCCATTCTATTTTTATTCTTCTCCCCATGGACGTCTAATTTAACGCCAAGTTGTTGTTTTATAATTTAAAATAGGAAAATATTTTATTTGGCCCATGTCAACAATATTTGTCGGGTTCCTCAAGACCCTGAATACACTATCATTCAGAACTTGTAGAAATGTACCAATCGCGAAACGTTTTTGTCTTGCTTGTAAATGTCGTGTAAATGTTGCGGTCCAATGTTTAAATTATGGATGTGCAGATTTGTGCACTTAATATAATGAAGAGGAAAGTCTCATGAATTCAACTAACCTTCGCGGAACATATGAAAGTCAAGCGCATCCTTTGTTTGACATTTCAATGTCTTTTAAAACAGAGCAATATGTCCAATATATTATTTGATGTCATGACCGATTATATTTCTAAAGAACCACATTAAAGCAGCGCTCAATATTCAAACTTAACATTATGTGATGTTTTATCCCTCACCTAACGTTTTGTATGTGATGATTTACCCCTCACTTAACGTTTTGCATATGATGTTTTATCCCTCACGTTTTGTATGTGATGTTTTACCCCTCACGTTTTGTATGTGATGTTTTACCCCTCACTTAACGTTTTGTATGTGATGTTTTACCCCTCACTTAACGTTTTGTATGTGATGTTTTACCCCTCACTTAATGTATTGTATGTGATGTTTTACCCCTCACTTAATGTTTTGTATGTGATGTTTTACCCCTCACTTAATGTTTTATATGTGATGTTTTATCCCTCACTTAATGTTTTGTGTGTGATGTTTTATCCCTCACTTAATGTTTTGTATGTGATGTTTTAACTCTCACTTAACGTTTTGTATGTGATGTTTTATCCCTCACTTAATGTTTTATATGTGATGTTTTACCCCTCACGTTTTGTATGTGATGTTTTATCCCTCACTTAATGTTTTGTATGTGATGTTTTATCCCTCACTTAATGTTTTGTATGTGATGTTTTATCCCTCACTTAATGTTTTGTATGTGATATTCTCCCCACAGCTGGGAGGGGAGCCTGTCTGTGAGGGACGGAGATGGGTTTACGTGTATGGACAAGATGATCGCCAACACACCCGAGGCTGTCAAGGTAAACTTCATTATAAAACAGTCGTTATGACGTCGTTCTAATGCTGGCTAAAGTTTCAAATAGTCTAAGTTGTTTCGGGCTTGTTTAAAAGGCACAATTAAAATGTGAACAGATAGTTTTAGAAACATAATTTTAAATCTGCACAAACTGTTTTAAAATTAATTTTTAAACGTGAACAGATAGTTTTAAAATCAAAATTTTACATCGGTACAGATTTTTTTTAAAACTATTTTAATGTGGACAGATAGTTTTAGGAAAACAATTTTAATTTGATCAGATTGTTTTAGAAAGAATTTTAAATATGTAGAGAGTGTTTTAAAAATAAGTCTATGTGAACAGATTGTTCTAGACAAGTGCGTGAAAAGGTCAAAGCATGACCCAACAGAAGAGAATTACACTGTAAGTCTCACGTACAAATATCTTGCTATGAACTTATTTAATACAATTTTAAGTTCTCCTATTTGTCAATTTTTCCTTCAAGTGTTGTCTACAGATTGTTAATGAAACTTTCAGATTGAGTTTAACTACCGCTACATTGACCCTGGACCTAGAGATCCCATGTCCAGAAAAAACAACTATAACGCCATTTTAGTAAGGTGTTTTTGTTATGATTTTTGTAAGGAATTTAAAATGATTTTTGTAAGAAATTATTTATGAAGATATTAAAAACGCCGCTTTGTTTCATAAATACAAGAAATAAAATGCACGCGTACAATTTTTTCTAGAAAATGTTGGCTCATGAGAGGGAGGAGCTGTTGTCACATTTGCTTTGTCAGAGTCTGTTGGCCTACAAATGGTAACTACGTGTTCACTAACTGATAGTTCACGATTTATTCAGAATATGTTGGCCTACAAATGGTAACTACGTGTTCACTAACTGATAGCTCACGATTTATTCAGAATATGTTGGCCTACAAATGGTAACTACGTGTTGACTAACTGATAGCTCACGATTTATTCAGAATATGTTGGCCTACAAATGGTAACTACGTGTTCACTAACTGATAGTTCACGATTTATTCAGAATCTGTTGGCCTACAAATGGTAACTACGTGTTCACTAACTGATAGCTCACGATTTATTCAGAATATGTTGGCCTACAAATGGTAACTACGTGTTCACTAACTGATAGCTCACGATTTATTCAGAATATGTTGGCCTACAAATGGTAACTACGTGTTCACTAACTGATAGTTCACGATTTATTCAGAATATGTTGGCCTACAAATGGTAACTACGTGTTCACTAACTGATAGCTCACGATTTATTCAGAATATGTTGGCCTACAAATGGTAACTACGTGTTGACTAACTGATAGCTCACGATTTATTCAGAATATGTTGGCCTACAAATGGTAACTACGTGTTGACTAACTGATAGCTCACGATTTATTCAGAATATGTTGGCCTACAAATGGTAACTACGTGTTCACTAACTGATAGCTCACGATTTATTCAGAATATGTTGGCCTACAAATGGTAACTACGTGTTCACTAACTGATAGCTCACGATTTATTCAGAATCTGTTGGCCTACAAATGGTAACTACGTGTTCACTAACTGATAGCTCACGATTTATTCAACATTGGCTTATCATATTAATTCAGAAGACAGAGTTAAAACACTGTGTTGATTCAATTTATTTGATACGAACTTTTCACTTGTAACTCTGTTATAAACTGCCCATGACACGAACTTTTCCCAGGGGAGGCACTTGAAACTTCCATGGGGGTGGGGAGGGGGCACTGGTTAAAGGATATATATATATATATATATATATATATATATATATATATATATATATGTATATGTATATGTATATATAATATAATATAATATAATATAATATAATATAATATAATATAATATAATATAATATAATATAATATAATATAATATAATATAATATAATATAATATAATATAATATAATATAATATAATATAATATAATATAATATAATATAATATAATATAATATAATATAATATAATATAATATAATATAATATAATATAATATAATATAATATAATATAATATAATATAATATAATATAATATAATATAATATAATATAATATAATATAATATAATATAATATAATATAATATAATATAATATAATATAATATAATATAATATAATATAATATAATATAATATAATATAATATAATATAATATAATATAATATAATATAATATAATATAATATAATATAATATAATATAATATAATATAATATAATATAATATAATATAATATAATATAATATAATATAATATAATATAATATAATATAATATAATATAATATAATATAATATAATATAATATAATATAATATAATATAATATAATATAATATAATATAATATAATATAATATAATATAATATAATATAATATAATATAATATAATATAATATAATATAATATAATATAATATAATATAATATAATATAATATAATATAATATAATATAATATAATATTAATATAATATAATATAATATAATATAATATAATATAATATATATGATATGATATGATATGATATGATATGATATGATATGATATGATATGATATGATATGATATGATATGATATGATATGATATGATATGATATGATATGATATGATATGATATGATATGATATGATATGATATGATATGATATGATATGATATGATATGATATGATATGATATGATATGATATGATATGATATGATATGATATGATATGATATGATATGATATGATATGATATGATATGATATGATATGATATGATATGATATGATATGATATGATATGATATGATATGATATGATATGATATGATATGATATGATATGATATGATATGATATGATATGATATGATATGATATGATATGATATGATATGATATGATATGATATGAATGATATGATATGATATGATATGATATGATATGATATGATATGATATGATATGATATGATATGATATGATATGATATGATATGATATGATATGATATGATATGATATGATATGATATGATATGATATGATATGATATGATATGATATGATATGATATGATATGATATGATATGATATGATATGATATGATATGATATGATATGATATGATATGATATGATATGATATGATATGATATGATATGATATGATATGATATGATATGATATGATATGATATGATATGATATGATATGATATGATATGATATGATATGATATGATATGATATGATATGATATGATATGATATGATATGATATGATATGATATGATATGATATGATATGATATGATATGATATGATATGATATGATATGATATGATATGATATGATATGATATGATATGATATGATATGATATGATATGATATGATATGATATGATATGATAGGATATGATATGATATGATATGATATGATATGATATGATATGATATGATATGATATGATATGATATGATATGATATGATATGATATGATATGATATGATATGATATGATATGATATGATATGATATGATATGATATGATATGATATGATATGATATGATATGATATGATATGATATGATATGATATGATATGATATGATATGATATGATATGATATGATATGATATGATATGATATGATATGATATGATATGATATGATATGATATGATATGATATGATATGATATGATATGATATGATATGATATGATATGATATGATATGATATGATATGATATGATATGATATGATATGATATGATATGATATGATATGATATGATATGATATGATATGATATGATATGATATGATATGATATGATATGATATGATATGATATGATATGATATGATATGATATGATATGATGATATGATATGATATGATATGATATGATATGATATGATATGATATGATATGATATGATATGATATGATATGATATGATATGATATGATATGATATGATATGATATGATATGATATGATATGATATGATATGATATGATATGATATGATATGATATGATATGATATGATATGATATGATATGATATGATATGATATGATATGATATGATATGATATGATATGATATGATATGATATGATATGATATGATATGATATGATATGATATGATATGATATGATATGATATGATATGATATGATATGATATGATATGATATGATATGATATGATATGATATGATGATATGATATGATATGATATGATATGATATGATATGATATGATATGATATGATATGATATGATATGATATGATATGATATGATATGATATGATATGATATGATATGATATGATATGATATGATATGATATGAATATAATATAATATAATATAATATAATATAATATAATATAATATAATATAATATAATATAATATAATATAATATAATATAATATAATATAATATAATATAATATAATATAATATAATATAATATAATATAATATAATATAATATAATATAATATAATATAATATAATATAATATAATATAATATAATATAATATAATATAATATAATATAATATAATATAATATAATATAATATAATATAAATTGTGTATTTTAAGTTTGTCATGGGGAAGAGAGACGCTGGAAGTACTCTGGGGGCTGGGGGATGCTTAGAGTGATATCTGAAAGAAACTGAGTTTTTCCACCTTCGTGTTGAGTTATCTATATATATATAATTTTCTTCTTGGAGACGCTAGAAAACAAGCCGTCCTTAACGACCTTCTGATAGTGTTTTGAAGCAAACATTTTCAGTGGCAGCATTGGGACTGTCGAATTCACAAATTATGAATCACTGAAAAGTAGAAAAATAAAACAACTAAATAGCGGCGTATGATATGCCGCGGGTCGGCTCGTATAATTGAATTGAAATGTTTGACCGCTCTCATGATGTCACCATGATGTTACCATGATGTCACCATGATGTTACCATGATGTCTCCAGGCGATGTTTTGGGAGATTTACTTTCGCCGTGGACATCTCCATACAGACTGGGTTCGCTTTGTTGCTGACCATTTTTTACGTGGTCATGATCAAACCGAACCAGGAGGATTATACCTGCAGCTGGACTAACGACACTAGCAACAACAGCAATGAGGAGGTGGGTTTGTCTTAAGTAGATTCACGTGACGTTTATGGTCATTGACTCGGTAAAGTTAACAAGTGATGAACACTGAAACGGCTAGCGACAAGGAACATAAATTGTAAGTATGACCTTACTTGAAACGCTCAAAACTAGTTCAGTCAATGTTATATATATATATGCACCATCTCATAGTATATGTATATGTTTCAGGCCTATCCACACGGCCCCCAGTACAGACACAGATTTATGTATGCTTTACAATATGCTATTTATGGCTTCCTTTTGGCCCTTTTCTTCAAGGAGATGAAAAATGCCATATCAGTGGTAAAGTTGTTTTTATTACATACAAAAAGGTTTGTCGTGTCTAGAGATTTTTGTTTTACCAAGACCTTCAATAGATATTTAGTATAGTATAGTATTCATCACTTATTTAGCAGGCCTATATGATACTGGTCTACATTGATATTATAACTTATTTACATCAGCCCTTGAATGTTTTATCTTGGTATGTTGAACACGAATTTAACCTCATGTTTTGTTATTAGCTCTCTTAAGTACATTAAGAGAGAACAAAACGAGAGAACTTCAATACTTACAGCAGATGGATCGCCTCACAAATCAAAATGCATAGATAAATACACAAACCTCACCCACACACACACGTCACACTCTGGTAGATACACAAACCTCACCCACACACGTCACACTCTGGTAGATACACAAACCTCACCCACGTCACACTCTGGTAGACACACAAACCTCACCCACACACGCCCCGCTCTGGTAGATTCACAAACCTCTCCACACACGTCACACTCTGGTAGATACACAAACCTCACCCACACACGACCCGCTCTGGTAGATACACAAACCTCACACACGCACGTCACACTCTGGTAATAACACAAACCTCACCCACGTCACACTCTGGTAGATAAACAAACCTCACCCACACACGCCCCGCTCTGGTAGATTCACAAACCTCACCCACGTCACGCTCCGGTAGATACACAAACCACGTCACGCTCTGGTAGATACACAAACCTCACCCACACACGTCACGCTCTGGTAGATACACAAACCTCACCCACGTCACACTCTGGTAGATAAACAAACCTCACCCACACACGCCCCGCTCTGGTAGATTCACAAACCTCACCCACGTCACGCTCTGGTAGATACACAAACCACGTCACGCTCTGGTAGATACACAAACCTCGTCACGCTCTGGTAGATACACAAACCTCACCCACACACATCACGCTCTGGTAGATACACAAACCTCGTCCACTCTGGTAGATACACAAACCACGTCACGCTCTGGTAGATACACAAACCTCGTCACGCTCTGGTAGATACACAAACCTCACCCACATACATCACGCTCTGGTAGATACACAAACCTCGTCCACTCTGGTAGATACACAAACCACGTCACGCTCTGGTAGATACACAAACCTCACCCACACACATCACGCTCTGGAAGATACACAAACCTCGTCCACTCTGGTAGATACACAAACCTCGTCCACTCTGGTAGATACACAAACCTCGTCCACTCTGGTAGATACACAAACCTCGTCACGCTCTGGTAGATACACAAACCTCACCCACACACGCCAACCTGGGGTTTAGATCATAATGAAAAACATTGCCTGGGTGTGACCAGCTTAAAAAAAATCTCCACTCATGTGACCAGCGACTTTGGTCCCTCTAGACCTAGATCTCAATGTTTCCTTCTGAGTCTAAACAAAACTAAAGTAACCAATTTCCGCGACTTTTATACCGAGTCCTACAGTTGCTTGGATAGTGGGAGATTGTTTATCTGATCCTTTTACAGGGCTGCAGGTACGTTTTATCTCCTCCTTTCTTCATGACCAATATTGCCGTTATACTTGTCGCGTTCAGCATTCTCCCACCGGGGTTTGAACCCTGCGATGCCCAGTGGAGATCGTTTGCCTATGCTACATTGATATTTCTTTTGAGGGAGACAATCATGATACAAAGGTAGTACTTGAAGTTGTTTTTGTGGTAACTCTAAATGGTGTACTTGGGTTGGTCAGTGGTGTGCATTTGTTATTGATAAGTCTGGTTTTTTTATTAATTGCTATATGAATATCACATATCTCAAAAATGAAAACATTACATTATATATATATATATATATATATATATATATATATATATATATATATATATATATATATATATATATATATATATATATATATATATATATATATCAATTGCTATATGAATATCTGTATCTCAAATAATTAAAACATTACATTCTATCTCTCTGTTTTTAGATTCGAGACTGTTGGTTTATACTTTACAATGTTCTTTGAAGTATTTAAAACGATGTTGAAGGTTAGTGAGAGATGTTTTTGTTTCACCTAAATCATTTCTCCACCTGTAGATCGAGTTTGAAGGAATCAGTCACCTAAAGGTATATGTTTAGTACACATCAATATTTAACCTTTATTTTCCAGATCTTTATTTTGATGCTGTTTTTCATCGTTGCCTGGACTGTCCCACTGTCAATAATGTTAAGACAAGTAGGTTTGATACTCTTTTTTTTCTGTAAGGGGGCCTAATCCCTTCTGTATTGTATGGTTATAATGGGGCCTAATCTTTGTTATACACTAATGGGGTCTACTTACTGTTATACAGGATTGCTATAATGGAAAGTACTATCTGTTATACAGGATGGTTATAATTGGAACTACTTACTGCTATACAGGATAGTTATAATGGAACCTAGTTACTGTTATACAGGATGGTAGATATGGGACCTAATTTCTGTTATACAGGATGGTTAAAATGGGGCCTAATTACTGTTATACAGGATGGTTATGATGGGGCCTAATTACTGTTATACAGGATGGTTATAATGGGGCCTAATTACTGTTATACAGGATGGTTATGATGGGGCCTAATTACTGTTATACAGGATGGTTATGATGGGACCTAATTACTGTTATACAGGATGGTTATGATGGGACCTAATTACTGTTATACAGGATGGTTATGATGGGGCCTAATTACTGTTATACAGGATGGTTATGATGGGGCCTAATTACTGTTATACAGGATGGTTATGATGGGACCTAATTACTGTTATACAGGATGGTTATGATGGGGCCTAATTACTGTTATACAGGATGGTTATGATGGGGCCTAATTACTGTTATACAGGATGGTTATGATGGGGCCTAATTACTGTTATACAGGATGGTTATTATGGGGCCTAATTACTGTTATAAAGGATGGTTATGATGGGACCTAATTACTGTTATACAGGATGGTTATGATGGGGCCTAATTACTGTTATACAGGATGGTTATGATGGGACCTAGTTACTGTTATACAGGATGGTTATGATGGGGCCTAATTACTGTTATACAGGATGGTTATGATGGGACCTAATTACTGTTATAAAGGATGGTTATAATGGGGCCTAATTACTGTTATACAGGATGGTTATGATGGGGCCTAATTACTGTTATACAGGATGGTTATGATGGGACCTAATTACTGTTATACAGGATGGTTATGATGGGACCTAATTACTGTTATACAGGATGGTTATGATGGGGCCTAATTACTGTTATACAGGATGGTTATGATGGGGCGTAATTACTGTTATACAGGATGGTTATGATGGGACCTAATTACTGTTATACAGGATGGTTATGATGGGGCCTAATTACTGTTATACAGGATGGTTATAATGGGGCCTAATTACTGTTATACAGGATGGTAATTATGGGACCTAATTACTGTTATACAGGATGGTTATGATGGGGCCTAATTACTGTTATACAGGATGGTTATGATGGGGCCTAATTACTGTTATACAGGATGGTTATAATGGGGCCTAATTACTGTTATACAGGATGGTAATTATGGGACCTAATTACTGTTATACAGGATGGTTATGATGGGGCCTAATTACTGTTATACAGGATGGTTATGATGGGGCCTAATTACTGTTATACAGGATGGTTATAATGGGGCCTAATTACTGTTATACAGGATGGTTATGATGGAGCCTAATTACTGTTATACAGGATGGTAATTATGGGACCTAATTACTGTTATACAGGATGGTTATGATGGGGCCTAATTACTGTTATACAGGATGGTTATGATGGGGCCTAATTACTGTTATACAGGATGGTTATGATGGGGCCTAATTACTGTTATACAGGATGGTTATGATGGGGCCTAATTACTGTTATACAGGATGGTTATGATGGGGCCTAATTACTGTTATACAGGATGGTTATGATGGGGCCTAATTACTGTTATACAGGATGGTTATAATGGGGCCTAATTACTGTTATACAGGATGGTTATGATGGAGCCTAATTACTGTTATACAGGATGGTAATTATGGGACCTAATTACTGTTATACAGGATGGTTATGATGGGGCCTAATTACTGTTATACAGGATGGTTATGATGGGGCCTAATTACTGTTATACAGGATGGTTATGATGGGGCCTAATTACTGTTATACAGGATGGTTATGATGGGGCCTAATTACTGTTATACAGGATGGTTATAATGGGGCCTAATTACTGTTATACAGGATGGTTATGATGGAGCCTAATTACTGTTATACAGGATGGTAATTATGGGACCTAATTACTGTTATACAGGATGGTTATGATGGGGCCTAATTACTGTTATACAGGATGGTTATGATGGGGCCTACGCGCTGTTGTCGACCCTGGCCATGACAGTTGGAGAACTCAATTTCAGGGATAATTTCATCAGGGGAGACAACACACCATTCACTTATGATCTCTATGGGTTGTTTCCCTTCTTCTGTATCCTTATGAATCTGTCTTTGATGAATCTGATGGTACGTTCTATTTAAAAATCTCGAATTCAATATGGCTCTAGATAAACAGCTAACTTTCACAGGCACACTTCCACCCAGCAACATACGGCACAAATAAGCTCAATCGATCATGTACACTCACGCTGCCTGGAAGACCATGAACTAATGTAAAGCCTCAATCCAATAAAAGAACACACACGCTAATGTAAAACCTCAATACAATAAAAGAACACACACGCTAATGTGAAAACTCAATACAATAAAAGAACACACACGCTAATGTAAAACCTCAATTCAATAAAAGAACACACACGCTAATGTAAAACCTCAATCCAATAAAAGAACACACACGCTAATGTAAACCATCAATCCAAGAAAAGAACACACACGCTAATGTAAAACCTCAATCCAATAAAAGAACACACACGCTAATGTAAAGCATGAATACAATAAAAGAACACACACGCTGATGTAAAGCCTAAAAAATAACCCTTTAATTAACCTTTAATTAACGTAAAGGCTAAATAGAATAGCAAAAAATGCCCCCCCCCCCCTGTCAAACACACCAATGTAACTTGTTTTATCCCAAAAAAGGTGGGTGTCGCTGTAGGTGATATCTCAAAGGTAGAGAAAAGAGCTTACCTAACTCGCCTACGTACCCAGGTTAGTGGTTGGTCCGTGTTCTGTAGCTACTTTAGTTGTATAAAGTGGGTTGGTCCGTGTTATGTAGCTACTTTAGTTGTATAAAGTGGGTTGATCCGTGTTCTGTCGCTACTTTAGTTGTATAAAGTGGGTTGGTCCGTGTTCTGTCGCTACTTTAGTTGTATAAAGTGGGTTGGTCCGTGTTCTGTCGCTACTTTAGTTGTATAAAGTGGGTTGGTCCGTGTTCTGTCGCTACTTTAGTTGTATAAAGTGGGTTGGTCCGTGTTCTGTCGCTACTTTAGTTGTATAAAGTGGGTTGGTCCGTGTTCTGTCGCTACTTTAGTTGTATAAAGTGGGTTGGTCCGTGTTCTGTCGCTACTTTAGTTGTATAAAGTGGGTTGGTCCGTGTTCTGTCGCTACTTTAGTTGTATAAAGTGGGTTGGTCCGTGTTCTGTCGCTACTTTAGTTGTATAAAGTGGGTTGGTCCGTGTTATGTAGCTACTTTAGTTGTATAAAGTGGGTTGGTCCGTGTTCTGTCGCTACTTTAGTTGTATAAAGTGGGTTGGTCCGTGTTCTGTCGCTACTTTAGTTGTATAAAGTGGGTTGGTCCGTGTTCTGTCGCTACTTTAGTTGTATAAAGTGGGTTGGTCCGTGTTATGTAGCTACTTTAGTTGTATAAAGTGGGTTGGTCCGTGTTCTGTCGCTACTTTAGTTGTATAAAGTGGGTTGGTCCGTGTTCTGTCGCTACTTTAGTTGTATATAGTGGGTTAGTCCGTGTTCTACTTTAGTTGTTTCTACTTTTTCATTTATATTGTCGTTCTTTTGTTTTTGCAGTATAAGCTTACAATAGAATCACTGCATGTCTCCCTTCCCCAATTCCCTTGTTCCAGGTGTCATAGATATCTGTTCCCCAATTCCCTTGTTCCAGGTGTCATAGATATCTGTTCCCCAATTTCCTTGTTCCAGGTGTCATAAATATCTGTTCCCTAATTCCCTTTTTCCAGGTGTCATAAATATATGTTCCCCAATTCCCATGTTCCAGGTGTCATAGATATCTGTTCCCCAATTCCCTTTTTCCAGGTGTCATAGATATATGTTCCCTAATTCCCTAGTTCAAGGTGTCATAGATATCTGTTCCCCAATTCCCTTGTTCCAGGTGTCATAGATATATGGTCCCCAATTCCCATGTTCCAGGTGTCATAGATATCTGTTCCCCAATTCCCTTTTTCCAGGTGTCATAGATATATGTTCTCTAATTCCCTAGTTCAAGGTGTCATAGATATCTGTTCCCCAATTCCCTTGTTCCAGGTGTCATAGAAATCTGTTCCCCAATTCCCATGTTCCAGGTGTCATAGATATCTGTTCCCCAAGTCCCTAGTTCCAGGTGTTATAGATATTTGTTCCCCAATTCCCTAGTTCAAGGTGTCATAGATATCTGTTCCCCAATTCCCATGTTCCAGGTGTCATAGATATTTATTCCCTAATTCCCTTGTTCCAGGTGTCATAGATATTTATTCCCCAATCCCATGTTCCAGGTGTCCTACCTACTTCACGCAGAGATCCTGCCAACAATGAGACTACGAGAATGGCTCCACAGCAGCAAACTTGTTGTACAACCTAACGCACGGCCTAGCACTAAATGGGACCGGGTACACTTTGTATATTTTAATTTCTTGTACATTCATCAGATCAGGTACACTTGGCTTACGTTATATTGTTGTACATTCATGAGATCAGGTACACTTGGCTTACGTTATATTGCTGTACATTCATCAGAACAGGGGACAAACTTTCAATTTGTTCTTTAACAATCATGTAAAACAAAGATTCCTATCAATATAAGTAAACGTTTCTTTAACAATCATGTAAAACAAAGATTCCTGTCAATATAAGTAAACGTTTCTTTAACAATTAGCTAAAACGAAGATTCCTATTAATATAAGTAAACGTTTCTTTAACAATCAGGTTAAGCGAAGATTTCTAAACGAGGAAAAAATATATTTCATAAAAAATAAAGTAAAAGAGAAGGAACTAGGGGAGACAAGAGTTGACATTCACAAAGAGATGGAGAACCAAAGGAAAAAGTGAGTATGGGAGGCAATTTATGCAAGTCTTTTTTTGAAACAGAGCCATGCGAAAGTTATTGAGGTTTTTTGTGCAGTTAATCAATAGTAGGTTTCTTGCATTTTCATGTATATACATAACTTAGTATTAATGTAGTATAACTGAAAGATTATACTAAACAATGTCCCCACAGAATTGACAACTTGACCGTCATGATGCAGTCAGCCATGGAGGTACTGACCAGGTTAAATCAAGTTGTACTCAATAGGCAGCTCTCCGACTAGTCGCTGAATGTAAAACATGAACACAATGTATTTGAACAGGATTTACTTGTAAAATATAAGAAAACATGAACACAATATATTTGAACATGATTTACTTGTTAACTATCAGAAAACATGAACACAATATATTTGAACATGATTTATTTGTTAAATATCAGAAAACATGAACACAATGTATTTGAACATGATTTACTTGTAAACTATAAGAAAGCATGAACACAATATATTTGAACATGATTTACTTGTTAACTATCAGAAAACATGAACACAATATATTTGAACATGATTTACTTGTTAACTATCAGAAAACATGAACACAATATATTTGAACATGATTTACTTGTTAACTATCAGAAAACATGAACACAATATATTTGAACATGATTTATTTGTTAAATATCAGAAAACATGAACACAATGTATTTGAACATGAATTACTTGTAAAATATCAGAAAACATGAACACAATGTATTTGAACATGATTTACTTGTAAAATATCAGAAAACAATGTATTTGAACATGATTTATTTGTTAACTATCAGAAAACATGAACACAATGTATTTGAACATGAATTACTTGTAAAATATCAGAAAACATGAGCGAAATGTATTTGAACATGATTTACTTGTAAAATATCAGAAAACAATGTATTTGAACATGATTTATTTGTTAACTATCAGAAAACATGAACAAAATGTATTTGAACATGAATTACTTGTAAAATATCAGAAAACATGAACACAATGTATTTGAACATGATTTATTTGTTAACTATCAGAAAACATGAACGAAATGTATTTGAACATGATTTACTTGTAAAATATCAGAAATCTTAAACAGCAACTTGAAAAGCAACAAACAGTGACCCCCCCCCCCCCCCAAACCGCTAACTACTTAGATACAATGTTTAAAAGTCACTGAAACGAATACATTATGAATGTTACTGATATATCACCACTACACATAAAACCCTTGAATGTATAACCAAAACCAGAACATTTAAAACGCTGTTTAACAGTGGCGGAACTAGAAAGATAAGGCCACCCGGAAACTTTTTAATATATAAATAAATAAATAAATATATTGGCCTACATATAATTTACTATACTGCCTCACTTAATTTTAGATTAATCTAGATGAATTATTTAATCCATTTCCAAATTTAGTAATGTAACCTATTTCATTGCAAAGTATATCACGACACAACAAATCACAAAAAAATCTGCGCATTTAAAATATTTCATTTCTCGTTTATACATTAAAACATATATAAAAAAAAATTTCAATACCGCATTTACACACGCATAAATTGCGAACAAATTTCGTATTTGGCAAGCCGGTCAAAAGTATTAAAACACAGAGCTTTGATATGTGTTATGGTTTCTTTTGTTTTTTACTTTTGAATACTTTTTTTTACTGCTGTGTTATTATTAAGTATACCCTGATTAAATAATAATCAAGACAAGAAATAGGTTTATAGGTTGCTTAGTACAAAATTATTAAAGCGAGCTTTTTGGGTCCCCTAATTAGGGTATTTAAAAAAGGGCGATAAGTCATGGAAGAAGTTTGAAGGTTTCCCTGTTTTTCACACTACAGCTCATGCAGTTTTTGGTCTATGAAACAGTTACTGGAGAACAATCACTACTGTAGTATCTCTTTTCTTTTGTTACAAAACAACAAGTCTATCAAGGTACACACAATTTATTTGTTTTTTTAGGCCCCTGAAACGGCCTGACCCCCCCCCACCCCCCCCCCCCACCCCCGTATTGTCTGGCGGTATGGCAGTTCCGCCCCTGCTGTGACAATCAATCGTTAAAATCAATTTTGTTGTAATCCTCCCCCCCTCTCTATGACATGCGAGCGCTCACACATATACACACGTAAAATCATACACACGCACACATATACATCTATAGGCATGCCCTTGGAGATATGGCGGAGAAGAAAAAATCAATTTGAAAGTACGATTTTGAGTTTTGCTTTGTTTTTGTTTTGTTTTTTTTTTAATTAAAAATAAACAACAACAATTATCCCACTTGTCTTAAATGATTGATGACTTAAAGCTCCGTACTTCAGCTTTCAATAAAATAATCAATACTTCACTTCGATTTTTTTTATTATCAGTCATGGTAGGAACGAGTTTTATACCAGTGACTTTTATTGAAAGTATGTGTTTCATTGTAAACAATCCAGCATTGAAAGTATGTGTTTCATTGTAAACAGTCCAGCATTAAAAGTATGTGTTTCATTGTAAACAGTCCAGCATTGAAAGTATGTGTTTCATTGTAAACAGTCCAGCATTGAAAGTATGTGTTTCATTGTAAACAGTCCAGCATTGAAAGTAGGTGTTTCATTGTAAACAGTCCAGCATTGAAAGTATGTGTTTCATTGTAAACAGTCCAGCATTAAAAGTATGTGTTTCATTGTAAACAGTCCAGCATTGAAAGTATGTGTTTCATTGTAAACAGTCCAGCATTGAAAGTATGTGTTTCATTGTAAACAGTCCAGCATTGAAAGTATGTGTTTCATTGTAAACAGTCCAGCATTGAAAGTATGTGTTTCATTGTAAACAGTCCAGCATTGAAAGTATGTGTTTCATTGTAAACAGTCCAGCACTGAAAGTATGTGTTTCATTGTAAACAGTCCAGCATTGAAAGTATGTGTTTCATTGTAAACAGTCCAGCATTTCACAGCAGATTCTCATCAGTCAGCCTGGTCAAGATACAGAAAGAAAAAAGTGCCATTCGAGCCTGATGGTGAGACATAGGCCTACTGGCCTACAAGAGAGATCTAGCCTGGGTGAGACATAGGCCTACTGCCCTACAAGAGAGTCAGACCCAGCCTGGGTGAGACATAGGCCTACTGTCCTACAAGATAGATCTAGCCTGGGTGAGACATAGGCCTACTGCCCTACAAGAGAGATCTAGCCTGGGTGAGACATAGGCCTACTGCCCTACAAGAGAGTCAGACTTAGCCTGGGTGTGACATAGGCCTACTGCCCTACAAGAGAGATCTATGCTGGGTGAGAAAGTCGTTCACGTTTAGCTTTGAAACAACTGGTGTCCGTGATGAGTACCTCGATGAAATCTTTGAAATGCGGTTAAAAGATTCATTGCATAAATATGTTATGTGGAGAACTCCCCCTCCCCTCACAACCTGTTTAATGTGTATATATTGTATAATCTCAAGGACATTTTGCTGCGGATCAACAATGAACTATGTATTAGTCCCCATACAGTATTAACCCCTCTTGGTATGCATAAGTTAATGTATCCGTGTGATGAGCGTGTAACGTGTTTGTTGCTCTGTGTAAAGCTAAACAAACTTTTCCACGTGCGAGCTGCACGAGACGAGAGAGGGCGAGGTTTGGGATGGACTAGTGCTGGGCCCAGTCTAATGTTCACTTCGGCAGAACGGAGAAAAATTGTCAGCGTATAGCGACATCGATGGGAGACAAGCCAGGAGACAAAAGCCGACCTCATACAAACGGCGTGCTGCGCAGTCAAGCGACCTATTTAGGAGCACGCGCTCAGGTAGTTTGATCGGTCCAACTCACCTGGCTTTGTGCGCACACTGGGATAACTGGCAGGGTGTGGTTTCATGGGACGACAGCAGCTTGATTTCTTCTGTCACAAACACACGCTAGAGAAACACATGGTTTTATAACGAGCGGGCAACTAACAGAGGATGAGTAACTTTCTTTAAGGTAAGTGCTTTTTTTTTTATTTCAGCGTGTGTTTTTCTCTTTGTGTCTCATCAGCATTAAACCATTGGATTGTTTTTAAAATGATATCGCGTTTTTCGTGTATCGGCATTTTTTTATAATCAGTCGCACAGAGTTTCACAATAATAATTTTCTAATCACCGTTCTAATTTCCCCACTCTTCAAATTTCCCCACCGTTTAAATTCAATTGTTAAAATTACCAGTCACCCAAAAACTCACTCACACACTAGATCTACATCCCTAAAGAGATGGCTCGCTATATTCTACGCGATATCCCCCCCCCCCCTAAAACTCCGCCTTAGAAAGTACTAGGGGACTATGCTTAACCTGTTGTCAGGTTGTCTTCTCCTGTCATCGATCTAGTGCTGGTTGGTCTAGGCGTTTTGTGACACAGTGTTAAAGATAGATGAGAAATAGGTAATTGGTTAAGGGATATGAGACGATGTATGTGTAGTGGTGCAGGGATATGAGACGATGTATGTGGTGCAGGGATATGAGACGATGTATGTGTAGTGGTGCAGGGATATGAGACGATGTATGTGGTGCAGGGATATGAGACGATGTATGTGTAGTGGTGCAGGGATATGAGACGATGTATGTGGTGCAGGGATATGAGACGATGTATGTGTAGTGGTGCAGGGATATGAGACGATGTATGTGTAGTGGTGCAGGGATATGAGACGATGTATGTGTAGTGGTGCAGGGATATGAGACGATGTATGTGGTGCAGGAATATGAGACGATGTATGTGTAGTGGTGCAGGGATATGAGACGATGTATGTGGTGCAGGGATATGAGACGATGTATGTGTAGTGGTGCAGGGATATGAGACGATGTATGTGTAGTGGTGCAGGGATATGAGACGATGTATGTGTAGTGGTGCAGGGATATGAGACGATGTATGTGGTGCAGGAATATGAGACGATGTATGTGGTGCAGGGATATGAGACGATGTATGTGTAGTGGTGCAGGGATATGAGACGATGTATGTGTAGTGGTGCAGGGATATGAGACGATGTATGTGGTGCAGGAATATGAGACGATGTATGTGTAGTGGTGCAGGGATATGAGACGATGTATGTGGTGCAGGGATATGAGACGATGTATGTGTAGTGGTGCAGGGATATGAGACGATGTATGTGTAGTGGTGCAGGGATATGAGACGATGTATGTGTAGTGGTGCAGGGATATGAGACGATGTATGTGGTGCAGGAATATGAGACGATGTATGTGGTGCAGGGATATGAGACGATGTATGTGTAGTGGTGCAGGGATATGAGACGATGTATGTGTAGTGGTGCAGGGATATGAGACGATGTATGTGTAGTGGTGCAGGGATATGAGACGATGTATGTGGCGCAGGGATATGAGACGATGTATGTGTAGTGGTGCAGGGATATGAGACGATGTATGTGTAGTGGTGCAGGGATATGAGACGATGTATGTGTAGTGGTGCAGGGATATGAGACGATGTATGTGGTGCAGGGATATGAGACGATGTATGTGTAGTGGTGCAGGGATATGAGACGATGTATGTGGTGCAGGGATATGAGACGATGTATGTGTAGTGGTGCAGGGATATGAGACGATGTATGTGTAGTGGTGCAGGAATATGGGACGATGTATGTGTAGTGGTGCAGGGATATGAGACGATGTATGTGTAGTGGTGCAGGGATATGAGACGATGTATGTGGTGCAGGGATATGAGACGATGTATGTGTAGTGGTGCAGGGATATGAGACGATGTATGTGGTGCAGGAATATGAGACGATGTATGTGTAGTGGTGCAGGGATATGAGACGATGTATGTGTAGTGGTGCAGGGATATGAGACGATGTATGTGGTGCAGGGATATGAGACGATGTATGTGGTGCAGGGATATGAGACGATGTATGTGGTGCAGGGATATGAGACGATGTATGTGTAGTGGTGCAGGAATATGAGACGATGTATGTGGTGCAGGGATATGAGACGATGTATGTGTAGTGGTGCAGGAATATGAGACGATGTATGTGGTGCAGGGATATGAGACGATGTATGTGTAGTGTTGCAGGGATATAAGACGATGTATGTGTAGTGGTGCAGGGATATGAGACGATGTATGTGGTGCAGGGATATGAGACGATGTATGTGTAGTGGTGCAGGGATATGAGACGATGTATGTGTAGTGGTGCAGGGATATGAGACGATGTATGTGTAGTGGTGCAGGGATATGAGACGATGTATGTGGTGCATGGATATGAGACGATGTATGTGTAGTGGTGCAGGAATATGAGACGATGTATGTGTAGTGGTGCAGGAATATGAGACGATGTATGTGTAGTGGTGCAGGGATATGAGACAATGTATGTGGTGCAGGGATATGAGACGATGTATGTGGTGCAGGGATATGAGACGATGTATGTGGTGCAGGGATATGAGACGATGTATGTGTAGTGGTGCAGGGATATGAGACGATGTATGTGGTGCAGGGATATGAGACGATGTGTGTGTAGTGGTGCAGGGATATGAGACGATGTATGTGGTGCAGGGATATGAGACGATGTATGTGGTGCAGGGATATGAGACGATGTATGTGGTGCAGGGATATGAGACGATGTATGTGTAGTGGTGCAGGGATATGAGACGATGTATGTGTAGTGGTGCAGGGATATGAGACGATGTATGTGGTGCAGGTATATGAGACGATGTATGTGTAGTGGTGCAGGGATATGAGACGATGTATGTGGTGCAGGGATATGAGAAGATGTATGTGTTGTGGTGCAGGGATATGAGACGATGTATGTGGTGCAGGAATATGAGACGATGTATGTGTAGTGGTGCAGGGATATGAGACAATGTATGTGTAGAGGTGCAGGAATATGAGACGATGTATGTGGTGCAGGGATATGAGACGATGTATGTGTAGTGGTGCAGGGATATGAGACGATGTATGTGTAGTGGTGCAGGAATATGGGACGATGTATGTGTAGTGGTGCAGGGATATGAGACAATGTATGTGGTGCAGGGATATGAGACGATGTATGTGGTGCAGGGATATGAGACGATGTATGTGGTGCAGGGATATGAGACGATGTATGTGTAGTGGTGCAGGGATATGAGACGATGTATGTGGTGCAGGGATATGAGACGATGTATGTGTAGTGGTGCAGGGATATGAGACGATGTATGTGTAGTGGTGATGGGATATGAGACGATGTATGTGGTGCAGGGATATGAGACGATGTATGTGTAGTGGTGCAGGGATATGAGACGATGTATGTGGTGCAGGGATATGAGACGATGTATGTGGTGCAGGGATATGAGACGATGTATGTGGTGCAGGGATATGAGACGATGTATGTGTAGTGGTGCAGGGATATGAGACGATGTATGTGTAGTGGTGCAGGGATATGAGACGATGTATGTGGTGCAGGTATATGAGACGATGTATGTGTAGTGGTGCAGGGATATGAGACGATGTATGTGGTGCAGGGATATGAGAAGATGTATGTGTTGTGGTGCAGGGATATGAGACGATGTATGTGGTGCAGGAATATGAGACGATGTATGTGTAGTGGTGCAGGGATATGAGACAATGTATGTGTAGAGGTGCAGGAATATGAGACGATGTATGTGGTGCAGGGATATGAGACGATGTATGTGTAGTGGTGCAGGGATATGAGACGATGTATGTGTAGTGGTGCAGGAATATGGGACGATGTATGTGTAGTGGTGCAGGGATATGAGACAATGTATGTGGTGCAGGGATATGAGACGATGTATGTGGTGCAGGGATATGAGACGATGTATGTGGTGCAGGGATATGAGACGATGTATGTGTAGTGGTGCAGGGATATGAGACGATGTATGTGGTGCAGGGATATGAGACGATGTATGTGTAGTGGTGCAGGGATATGAGACGATGTATGTGTAGTGGTGATGGGATATGAGACGATGTATGTGGTGCAGGGATATGAGACGATGTATGTGTAGTGGTGCAGGAATATGAGACGATGTATGTGTAGTGGTGCAGGGATATGAGACGATGTATGTGGTGCAGGGATATGAGACGATGTTTGTGGTGCAGGGATATGAGACGATGTATGTGTAGTGGTGCAGGGATATGAGACGATGTATGTGGTGCTGGGATATGAGACGATGTATGTGTAGTGGTGCAGGGATATGAGACGATGTATGTGGTGCAGGGATATGAGACGATGTATGTGGTGCAGGGATATGAGACGATGTATGTGGTGCAGGGATATGAGACGATGTATGTGGTGCAGGGATATGAGACGATGTATGTGTAGTGGTGCAGGGATATGAGACGATGTATGTGGTGCAGGGATATGAGACGATGTATGTGTAGTGGTGCAGGGATATGAGACGATGTATGTGGTGCAGGAATATGGGACGATGTATGTGTAGTGGTGCAGGGATATGAGTCGATGTATGTGGTGCAGGGATATGAGACGATGTATGTGGTGCAGGGATATGAGACGATGTATGTGGTGCAGGGATATGAGACGATGTATGTGTAGTGGTGCAGGGATATGAGACGATGTATGTGGTGCAGGGATATGAGACGATGTATGTGGTGCAGGGATATGAGACGATGTATGTGTAGTGGTGAAGGGATATGAGACGATGTATGTGTAGTGGTGCAGGGATATGAGACGATGTATGTGGTGCAGGGATATGAGACGATGTATGTGGTGCAGGGATATGAGACGATGTATGTGTAGTGGTGCAGGGATATGAGACGATGTATGTGTAGTGGTGCAGGGATATGGGACGATGTATGTGGTGCAGGGATATGAGACGATGTATGTGGTGCAGGGATATGAGACGATGTATGTGGTGCAGGGATATGAGACGATGTATGTGGTGCAGGGATATGAGACGATGTATGTGGTGCAGGGATATGAGACGATGTATGTGTAGTGGTGCAGGGATATGAGACGATGTATGTGGTGCAGGGATATGAGACGATGTATGT